CAGTGGCATTCCTGGGTTAAGGGCACTCCTGGGTTGCCCAATGCTGGCTTGGCTTTGGAGGACCTTGGGGTGCCGTTTAGACTTGGTGTGCACATCTGGGTCAACGCTGGTAGGGCTTTGGTGTGCACTTCAGGTTCGCATCCCCTTAGCTCTCATTGCAAACAGGAAGGCTTCCTTCCAACGTTTTGCTGCAGGGCCACAAGTGGAGTCTGTAAAAGTGCCCAGTGGATTTCTCCCAGAACACATTTTTGTATGCAGTTGTGCCTAATGTGCACATTTTTGCAAAGCGATTTCTCTAATAGAATGCATTTTTATGTTACTTTCATGAATAGATGCATTTTTGGCACACTTTGCCATAGCATATGCATTTTTGTACACATTACAGTGTTACCTCAGTTCTCAAACGTAATCCGTTCCAGAAGACCGTTCAACTTCTGAAACTTTAAAAAACTGAGGTGCAAAGGGTGGTCTGCAAATTTAATTGAGAAAATTGAGAAACACTCAGCAGAAGCCGTTCAACTTCCGAGGTGCGTTCAAAAATGGAAGCATTTACTTTCGGGTTTTCGGCGTTCGAAAACCAAAACGTTTGACTCCCGAGACTTGTTTGAAGTTTTATTTTGTTTTTAATGTTCTGTTGAAAGCCACCTAGAGTGACTGGGGAAATTCAGCCAGATGGGCGAGGTAGAAATAACAAGTTGTTGTTGTTGTTGTTGTTGTTATATTCAAAAACTGAGGTACTACTGTACTTGGCTAGACAACTGCATTGCAAAATTCGGAGAAGTGCAAATTTTGAAGAGCAGCTGTTTTGGTTTAGAATGGCGGCTTTACAAATAAGTCAATCTCACCCTCCAGAGCAAAGTACTGGGAACCGTGCACAGGGCATTAGCAGTCCTTTTGCCAAGCAGATTTTGCTTCTCTATAACCCAACTCAATGTGCTTTTAAATCATTGGCTTTCTGCTAGTTTAGGGAAACTAGGCAAGGCATTCTCATAGGCATTTGCAACAATCCTTGTTTCTTCTTTTGGCACCAAGCATGATCTGCTATAAATGGTGTTTGCTATTCAAGCCCTTTCTTCTCTGTGTTTTGTTCAAATGATTTTAAACAAAAAAACCCCCTTGTTTCCCCCCCATGCACAACCCATATAACCTGCTGTAGTTTCTAATTTACAACAGCAAAATATAATCTCCTCCATGAATTTGCATAAAAATGAACAGACCTTGCAGCACGATATTAAATTTGAAATTTGCATGCAAGGGTAGCCAAGTAATAAGTTTGCATTTCGAGATGTTTGTGCCTGCAAATTCACAAACTAGCAGATGTAATGAGGAGATTTGTACACCTCCCTGAAAGCAAATCAGCGATGAAAACACTTGGAGGCTGTTGTTACAGATCAAAGAGCATGGGATGTACAGGGTGGTATCAGAACTGGCATACAAACCAAGTCAGCCAGCCATTTCACTTGGCAACAAGCCCTGCTCAAAATGGAAGACAAAAAGCAGAAAATGCAGCTGTTCCTTCATGCAAGACTCCAGAACAATGCAGACACAATGCCAATAGGCACAGGAGTGGCTGGTGCATTAGGGCAAAGTGGGCAGTGCCCCACCAACCTCAGTCTACTCTCAGCCAGCCTCCACCTGCCTGCCTGCCTACTTACATCCAGTCCAGGCAGTGGCACTGGGGGTCAACTTTCTGTTCCTTAATCTCAGTGACGCCCTTATAAGACTCAGCAGGGAGGATGATAAAGACAGAACTGGAATTCGGCAACATTCACACTATGATACCACTTTAAGCAATCTTGGCTTCTGCTGAAGAACTCTGAGAACTGCAATTTTGTAAGGGTATTGAGCGTTCTATTCCCGTGCCCCCAAGCTTCAATTCCCAGAGTTCCCCTGGGAAAAGGGACTGATTGTTAAGCTGACCATTTAGTGGTAGGGAGTGTGGATTGTGGGCAGGAGATTCAATGCCTGACATCTTTTTTTGTGGTGGTGATGGCGGGTTATGCAATATTACAGGAGGGGGTTATGTTTTCGTTTTGTATTTTTATGTTGCAAACTGCCCTGTGATCTTCAAATGAAGGGCGGCATATACATTTAATAAATAATAAATCATTATCACCATTGCCGTTGCCAAATGCAATTGGAAAATACTCATTTCTAGAGTCGCTACCCATCCATGCATATGGTTCTGAGCTACATAGAGCAATGTTCTCATACCGTGTCAGCCAGTTTTGTGTGTTCATATAAGATGCCACCCTCTCAGCAACTGGTGTTCCCAGATAGTTTACTTCTGGACACTGGAGTTCATAAGAACATAAGACAACCCTGCTGGACCACGCCAATGGCTCATTTAATCCAACATCCTCTTCTCACAGTGGCCAACCAGATACCTGTGGGAAGCCTTCAACCTGGACAGGAGTCCTCTCCGCTCCTCTGATTCCTAGCAACATGTATTCAGAGGCATAATTTAAGCATCATGATAGACATGTCATCTAGTGGCTCTCATCAACATGGCAGGAACAGCTACAAAGAGCGGACATTCTTTTGTGCAACTCTTTTAAGAATTCAGGAGACTTCCCAAAGTCTGGTTTTCTCAACCTTGTTAACCAAAGACAAGACACTGATGAGTTTTCTTGCAGCCTGGATCATGTCAAGACATTCTCAGTGGTCCAGACAGACTTCCAGTCTGTCTTGTCAAGACAATGTCCTCTGTTAGCTACATATATTTTTTTTCTGAATGCTAGTGTAGCTCACTTCAGGTTTGTTTGGTTTTTTGTTTGGTTTTTTAAGAATCTTGTGAGCTCCCTAGCACAATCAAGACCTTTCTTATTAAGTCTTCTTTTACCACCAGAACTGGGAGTGTAACAACCCGCTTATTCATAAGCTAATTTTACCTAAGAGGTTTCTCAGCAAAGCTGATTGTTCGTGCTGGATCCTTTATACAATTAAAACGGCAAAAGGGAAGGAAGAAAGAAATCACTTTAACATCATTAAAGCCCTGTGTTGCACAAGCCTCTGTGAGAGTCAGCAATTTAATGACTGAAACATGAGCAGCAATGCCTCCAAGTCAAATGACTCATTTACAGATCCCCTCCTCTCCCCTTCCCTGCCTTTTCCTGTTCTTCTGAGGTCTCTGACCCAACTAAACTGAGATGAATCAACAAAGGCACTTCACAGGTGAAAACAGCTACCTGGCTAAGTTCAAGCCACTGGTTTGGGTGTACAAAGTCCTATACAGCTTAGAATTGGGGTACCTGAAAGATTGCCTGACCCCTTATATACCCAGCCACTTTGCAGATGAGGGCCTCCTGCAGATGCCGTCTCATCAGGAGGTACGTACAGTGGTACCTCAGGTTAAGAACTTAATTCGTGCTGGAGGTCCGTTCTTAACCTGAAACTGTTCTTATCCTGAGGTACCACTTTAGCTAATGGGGCCTCCTGCTGCTGCTGCGCTGCTGCCGCCCGATTTCTGTTCTCATCCTGAAACAAAGTTCTTAATCAATTTGATTTGAATTAATTTTTATAATCAAATATTTTTAGAATGTTGTACTATTTTACTGTTGTTAGCCGCCCTGAGCCCGGCTTCGGCTGGGGAGGGAGGGATATAAATAAAATTTACTATTATTATTATTATTAACCCGACGTACTATTTCTGGGTTAGCGAAGTCTGTAACCTGAAGCATCTGTAACCTGAAGCGTCTGTAAGCCGAGGTATCACTGTACTGTAGAATATAGACATCAGGATTTTGGTATCAGGATACCTGCTCTATGGAGAGACCTCAACTTGAATATCAGCCAGGTGTCATATCTACTGTCCAGGAGCACCATCTATGGGGAGGCCAGGAGGGAGGCCTCCCCCCCAAAAAAATTGATGAGGTGGCCGGGCCCCCTCAATATTCAGCAGCTAAGGGGTCCCCGTCGGGCCCACCCATGGCTGCAATGGGCTCCATCGGGCCCTCCCATTGGTGCCAGGACTGCAAGTTCATAGGAAGCTCAGAGTCCCATTTTGCAGCCTTCCTACAGAGAACCTGAGGGTTCGGGGTGTGTTTTCTTGGGTGTGCAGCTTTCTACAACCTGGGGGCTAGCACTGTGATGCTCTTGAGGGGCCAAATGCGACTGACAACAAGCTGACTGTTAAGAGATTAAAATACAGTCATACCTCTGGTTGCGAACGTGATCTGTGCAGGAGGCACGTTTGCAACCTGCAGAGTTCACAGCCTGAAGCACCATGTCCGTGCATGCACATGATGTGATTTGGTGCTTTTGTGCATGCGCGAGCGGTAACCCCTCCCGGGACTTCCGGGTTCGGTACAGTCCACAACCCGAAAACGCGCTTCGCAACCTGAGGTATGACTGTATAAACAAAAAACAGCATTTGCTAAAATTATAATTTTCTCTCCATTTTGCAGGAGCACCACTCTTTTTCTTCCTGCAAGGGACTGAAACTGACCTCTGCTCCTGATCATTTTATCTGATGAGTGAGGCTGCAGTAATGTTTATCCTGGAATAACAAATCACCTTGACTTCCCCCCCTTCTAAATACAGTGCATACCCCCCCAATACTTTGGGAGGGCATTTCGGAACACCCCACCACCACCCCACTGACCCTGTCCATCCCCCCTGACGCTGACACTTCCTCTCTCACCCCTCCCCTCCCTCCCCTCCACCTAACTTTCTCCAGCCACCCTCCTCCACAGCCTGTGGGAGTGTTGGCTGCCGCTCCTTCTGGAAGGCTAAGCCAGCCTTCCATAGGCCAGCGTCAGCCTCCACAGCCTCAGGAGATACAACGCAGGTCAGGCCGACCTTCTGGCAGGCACGCCGGGCCTGTGCCCCTTCGGGAGAAGTAAAACACCCCAACATCACTGATGAGCTGCATTTAATATTGCAGGAAATCATTTTCGGTAATAGTTAGGTGTACACCATAATGTGATGTTGCAGAAGACCAGGGCAGGGTGGCACTCGTCTTCTGTGACATCACATTATGGTGTACACCTAACTACTACCAAAAATGGTGGCAACCTCTGATTTCCTTCAGGAGAAGTGGCATGGTCTGGTGCGGCTTGCCAGAAGGCCGGCCCAGTATGCACTGCATCTCCTGACCCAAGGTTACTCCGGCCTGCATGTCTCCTGATGTGGCACAGACTGGACCTGCCTCTGCCACCGCCTTCCGGCACCGCAGACAAACTTCCGGAAGAGGAGGTCAAGGTAAGTTTTCCTTCCATTTTTTGGTCCTGTTTCTGGACTCACACCACAGCAGAAGTAAAAAAAATGCCCGTCTTTTGCTCCCTCGCTCTGGTGCAACCAGTGCGGGGGAGCAAAATTGGGACACTTGGGATTGGGAGGAAAAGCAGGGGCATCTTCTGCCAATTCGGGATGTCCCAAATAATTCGGGACACTTGAGGGGTCTGACAGCGAAACCTTCATTTTTGGCTCAAATACCAACCAGGATCTTCATTTCCTGTCTCTGGAGAAGTGTGTGTGCCTTTTCAAACAGTTAATCTCCATGGTCATCCCTCCACCCCCTGGGCTCACAAACGTGTCAGGATGGTCCCCCTAAGTCACTTGCTAATGAAAGCGTAATATACAACAATGGGCTGCATGATCAGCCTAAGAAAGAAGCCTCCTGGGGGATTCTCAAAATGAATACTGAATCAGCGTCAAGTCAGATTTTAATCTTCCTTCAGACTTCTCATAAATTAACTAGAGACACTCTGTGCCACTGATTCAAATTCCATTCTGGTACTTTACACAGCAGCTCCCCCTCCCCAGGAAGAGTTCTCCTTTTAACCGACATGTGAATCACAGTCCTTTTGCTGTTGGCTAATGAAACAATCTATGGCCTTTGAAACTGGGGCGGGGGAGGGAGTTACTGTTTTTCGCTTGTTATTATGTTATGCATTCTTTTGTGGTCTTATACTGTAACTTAACCTGTGATCCTCGGAGGATGGGTGGTATATAAATTTCAGAAATAATAATATTAATAAATAAGAAGAATTTTAGAAGTTCCAGATGGTCATGAGGCAATCGGATTCTCCCCTAGCCTCAATACCAGGTATTTGTTTTTCCAATACTAGTTATTTGTTTCTCTCTCTCTCTCTCTCTCTCACACACACACACACATTTATTTCATGGAGAATAGGGCTACCTACTGGTCACAATGACCAGTAATGCTACTGAATGCTAGCTGCTGGAAACCGCCCATGTGCAGAGCATTGTTGCGCTCATGCGCAGGGTCCCCATCGGGGCATCTGATTGGCCACTGGGACAGAAGGAGTGGATGAACCATTGGCCTTACCCAGCAGGCTCATCTTATGTTTTTATGTTCTTTAAGGGGGGAAATCCTAAGCTGGGAATCGCACCAAAATGAGTCCTGAGCATGTTCAATGGCCATGGAATACTGACAGAGTGGGCAGGAGGCAGAGCCGGCCCTTGAGGCATGGTGAGGCAGTTGCCCCAGGTGGCGGACTGGGGACTGCTAGGAGAGGTGGCAGATCCATGCCCCCGAGGTATGTACCTGCCACAGAGTGAGCTGGCCAGTAAATATCTCAATTGTTGGAGTTAACTTTTTATTAGCAAAAACACACGTCTTCACAGACTTGGCTGAGTATCAGGCCTAAAGAGCACAGAAGCTTGTTCCCTGTAGGTCTTACTCCATGAAATCAGTTGCTGAGACTACATCTCCTCACTTCCCCACAGCCATCTATGTCTCCTTCTCTCCTGGTTCTGGGAGTCAGGAGGCAAAAGGAGCATCTTTCAGCAGGAGGGGAAGGCACCCTTGTCTCTTCACCTCCCTCCTCTTGACCTCCTGCTTCAGCTTCAGCCTCTGCTTCTAGACTGCTCTCTGCCACAGCCTCTTCCTGCTCACTAAACCCTGTAATCTCTTCAGCTTCTGACACCCCCTCCTCTCAGTCTTCTCTCTCTTTTCCCTCTGGCCACTCATCGTCATCCCACCACCATTCTCTGGGCTCTGAGCCTTCCTCCTTTGGTGGTTCCCCAGCTGGTTCCTTCCACCATTCCTCTGCATCCAGCCAGTTCATGACAGTACCACTCACCATCTCCTGCCCTTACTGCTGACCCTGCCCCCCTTCCTCTTCCACAACCTCCCATTCCTCTCCGGCCTCCTTCAGGGCACCAGGCTGCCTCCAGCTGTCTCAGGTAGTGGCAGGAGGGACAAAGGAGGAGGAATGGGTGCCATTTTCTCATTTGCCTCAAGAGGCAGCCCAACTTGGGTGGGCCCTGGCAGAGGGCGAGGTGTAAAACAGAGAATCCTGGAGGACAACACTGAGCAGGAACTTTCCAAACCACAATATTTTATTGCAGCTCCTGCTTGTAAGAGGATGCTATTTAAGATCTCCCCAATTATAAGTTTGCATAGAGAAGCAGCACATTATCTGCTGCTAATTCAATTTTTAATAAGCCTTTCCAAGGACAAATCTTAGTGGCTCACAGAAGAGACTTTATAATTAATATAATGTTCAGGGGTCCCCCCCCCCCGCTCTCTCTCTCCATGGCAATTAGCTATTATACAGGTCAGCGTTTTAAAAAGTGTTCGTCGCAGGAACCAGTTCACACTCATTAAGTGGCAGAAAGAGCTTAATCACATCCAGTGCACAAGCCAAAACACACAGGCCAAAATATTCAGCGTAAATTGTTGCACAGAAAATATTGCTTTAAGTGAAATCTGGGTTCTCATCTTCTATGAAAATATTTAGGAACACAAAAGAGAAAGAGAATGGCTGGTGAACCAGAGATGTTTGTGGGTGCAGTAGAGATACATCCCAGTGAAATTCTAGCAATCTGAAACAGAAAAAAAAGCTCAAATGGTTGTATCCAATTAAGGTGAGTAGATCCACCAAAATTTGCACCAGTCAAACCCATTGCCTGCAATGGATCTACACTGAGTAGGGCTACCCTTGGCTATAACACCTTATATGTAGGCCACATTCACAACATACATTTAAAGCACTATGATATCTGATTTGATCCCAGAATGCCCTGGTTTTCCTTAGGATGTCCCTATCTTCATCTGAGAAGTGTTGGACGGTATGGAGTTATGCAATCCCCCGAGCCAGGGAGAGAAGTAACTATACCACCTTTAGAAGACATCTGAAGGCAGCCCTGTTTAGGGAAGGTTTTTTTAATGTTCTATTATGTTTTTATATATGTTGGAAGCCACCCAGAGTGGCTGGGGCAACTCAGATGAGCAGGGTATAAAGAATAGAATAGAATATCCCTATTTTCATAGGAGAAATAAATGTTGGAGGGTATGGGAATTTGCATTGAATTCTGCAGAACCGACATCCTGGTAAGCATGTAGGAGATAGGATTGCAATGGACAAGATAGGAGTACATGCACACTGGATTTTGCATGCTTAAGGTATAAAGGAATATGTGCCCTGGTGTCAGCATTCAGGGACATCAGAGGTAGGGTAGAAATATGAGGGGGGAGGTGTGTGCACCTCGCTGCCTGTGGCACAGGCTGGATCAGACATATCATCTATTCCAGCTCAGTGTCATTCTAATCTAAGACAGTTTTATATCAAACCCGCTTGTCAGTTGAAAAACAGCAAGGGCTCCTGCTATGAAAAGGCAAGGGGAGGAACGTGAATGACACTGTACTGAGAGCAGACGGCGATAGCAGCTGCATGCAGCATTATAATGGCTGAGCAAAAGCACAAAGGCATTAAACCTCTTGAGCGACAATTCAACTATATAGACTCTGCACATCCCTTAATGGAGAATCCGGAATGAGCAGGGAGCTATTGTTGGAAGTGCAGCAGAAGAGATCATTCAGTTTGCAACTTAGGGGTTAATTCTCTTACCAAGGGAGGAGGGAGGTGCAGCTTAGCAACCAGGCTGAGTGGCATGATCTCTGGTGATGTAGCATCTTGGCTGTTTAGTTTGGAGGCAGTATTTCCTCTGGGTGTTTGGCTGAATGTCTCCCCACGCTGTGCATGGCCCGAACAAAAAAGGGCAAAAGCTCTCTGCTTTCTTTCTCCTCACATTATACAGTGGTACCTTGGTTCTCAAACTAAAACCGTTCCAGAAGTCCATTCCAAAACCAAAGCATTCCAAAACCAATGTGTGCTTTCCCATCGAAAGTAATACGAAGCAGATTAATCCATTCCAGGCTTTTAAAAACAACCCCTAAAATAGCAATTTAACATGAATTTTACTATCTAACAAGACCACTGACCCATAAAATGAAAGCAATAAACAATGTACTGCAGTCACACAATCAATCAATCAGTAGCTGAACTGGGTTCCACACAGTCACAAAAACAAAACAAAAACGCCACAAAAACAAAAACGCAAAATAAATAGCAAAAATAGACAGACCTCAGCATAACACTCAAAACTGAATTGTGGCACTCAAATCAGAAGCATAACACTCAAAACAGAGCCCTTTTGGCTGCCGAAAATAGTTCGCAAACTGGAACACTTACTTCCAGGTTTGCAGTGTTTGGGTTCCAAGTCATTTGAGTACCAAGGCGTTTGAGAACCAAGGTACCACTGTATACTATTTTGGTTGAAATTGTGCAGTAGAGTGATTGGGATTCTTCTCTCTTGACTGGTATTTAAGAGACGTTACTAACAGCTATAGTTACAAGGTTACCCAAAGGGTCATCTAGGTCAACCCCACTGCAAAGCAGAAATCACAGCTAAAGAACCCCTGGCAGATGGCCACCCAACCTCTGCTTGAAAACCTCCAAGGATGAAGAGTTCATGGACAGTCCATTCCACTATCAAACAGCTCTTATTATCAGGAAGTTCATCCTAATGTTTAATTGAAATCTCCTTTCTTGTAACTTGAATCCATTGATTCAGGTCCTCCTCTTTAGAGCAGGAGAGAACAAGCTTGCTCCATCTTCTGTGTGATAGCCCTTTAGATATTTGAAGTTGGCCATCATATCTCCTTCTCAATCTCATTTTTTCCATACCCAAACTCCCTCCCAAACATACCCAACTCCCTCAACCATTCCTCATCAGGCTTGGTGTCCAGACCCTTGGTCATCTTGGTCACTGTCCTCTGCACACCTTCCAGCTTGTCAACACCCTTCTTCAACCCTGGTGGCCCAGAACTGGACACAGCATTACATATGGGGTCTGACCAAGGCAGAACACAATGGGACTATTACTTTCCTTGATCTGGACACTATATTTCTGTTGATATGATGTGTCTTCTGCCCAGGGCTTCTTCAGAAGGAGGAGTTGGGGTATATATAAATTGAATGGATGGCTGAATAACAATTGCTTCATTACAAAGTAAACTATGAGACTCTGTATATTTTTGTAAACCGTTTTGAACTCCCCCCCCCAAAAAATGTATATATTTAATGAAAAAAATACAATAAAAAGGTCACCCAGTGAGATTCGTGGCTGAGTGTAGATTTGAACTCTGGTCTCCCGGGTCCAAGTCCAACACTCTAAATCATGGCACCACACTGGCTATCAAACTGGTGTATGTTTACCACCAAGTTTAAAACGTCAGGAATTAAAGCTTCTTATTATTTGCCGTGGTCCAACATATTCTCTCTCTCTCTCTCTCTCTCTCTCTCTCACACACACACACACACACACACAGCCTGTCCCTTTCCATCCCACCCAGAGGCATCTGCTATGCAAGCTGCTTAGCTCTCATTCAGTGCGTGCCCTGCGGACCACAGGAGGGCAAACAGCTGAAATCCAATCAAGCAACTCTCTTTGGGACGAAGCACATGATGTGCCTGCCTGCCAGACTCCGGTTTTAATGGACATGGCAAAAGAAAGAAAATAAGCTTATGCACAGATTCAGCAAATAATGCTTTGTTAGCAAAACGTGAAGCTGTCAGGTCTGTTTTGCATTAGCCAGCCTTTGGGGAAAATGAAACAGGGAGGTGGGGAGAGGGGGAAAGAGAAGGTGGGGGGAAGGAATTATTTTTGACAAGCCCTTGCCCTGCCCTCCATCAAATGCTCAATATTTGCTGCTAATTGTTATACAGAAACCACCTGCAATTTAAGAGCACCGGGGACTTTCTGCATCACCATCTCCCTGTGTGGCAGGGCTCTGTTTTGCCTCAATTGTTGTAAAGACAGGCAGAAATCCCACAGGCACAGGTTGGAAGTCACAGAACGCAGATGCCACAGGGAGCTTTTCCTGATGAATTTCCATCCATTTCTTACATTCAAATGCCCCAACCGTCCTTACTGATCTGGAGGTAGTCCTGGATTTCCAGTTTCTTGTCCCCATCAGTTTAATCTTCTGGGTGCCTGTTGCAGTGGGTGACATTGAGCATGAATGGACCTGGCACCAAAATTTGTGGGTGCCTGGCCTCTTCATTGGGAATTTAGTGGGTGCTCGGGCACCCAGGGCCCTGGGAGTTGGCACCTATGCACATCATTTGTCAATATTTATTTTTCTAGCCAGGCTGAAGCTGGCTTAAGAAGAAACCACATCAAACAGCAGTATTTGTCAAGAAACAAAGGTTCCCTATTAGGAAAGACAGATCATATCTGTTTCCATTCCATATTACCTTCATATGTGCTCACTTGCAGGCCCATCCTATCCCCCTCTTTTTTGCAGATTAAAACACAAACACACACACACACACACACACACACACACAATTCTGTTTAAGTCGCCTTCTTGGCCCAATCTTCCCCCTAAATATGCATTTTCGTATGCTTTCCATTATATTCCCCCCTAAAATACACATTTTCAAAAAAAGCATTACTGGGTATATTTTAATAGCAAACCTTGAAACTGCATCATGGAATTTGGAGAAATAAGTAATTTGATCAATTAGATTGCAATCCTTATGTGAACCTAGGACAATCAAATTTGTGCTGCTCATTTTAAAATGCAGACCAAACACATTTGTCCTCCTTCCCTAATACTGCTTTCAAAAACAGAGATATGTGACTCTGTTTCAAGAAAATTCCCAGGAACTGGTGTTCAGAGGGATAGCTCAGTCAGCAGAGCTTGGGACTCTCAGTCTCAGCATGGGACTTTTAATCACTGGCTGGTTTCACTGCCCCTGTTTCACCCTGCCCCAACCCGCATCCCTGTCTCCTGCCCAGCCCTGATGGGTCCATTTCCTCTGATGCAATAGAGAATCAGGGCTGCTTGTCCCAGTTTTGTATGGCACTCCATCCTTTTTGCATGGTTCTTATCTATTTGCAGCTAGAGAGGCCTACAATGCTCAGAGATATTCCACTTTGGTGCAGCAAGACATTGAAAGTTCATGAAGCTTATTTGCAAAAGCAGACAATGTGATGATAATGATGATTTTGCACCTGTGTAAGATTTTCTGAACAGTTATTTCACACACTTGCACAGGTGTCAATCAACTCCACTAAAATATTTGCTAATTCAGAGCCTGCTGGGCCAAACTTAATTCTTATTCCGTGCTGAAGCTCTGACTGGCTTGCCGTTTTCACATGTTGTTGCTTGGTGACTCATCCATCCGCTTGTGCTTTACAGATCCGCATAAATCCATTTGTGCGTCAATAAAACACCACGTGGAAAATAAGTCTTGATGAAATTATATAAATGATGAGTCAGCTGTGCGATGCATTTGCAGCTTGCATCAACAGAAGTACGGTGGGCAGATCATGAGTAAGAATGGCCACAAGAGGCGACGACGTCCACCAACTTGGATGTATTGAAAAGAGGATTAGACAAACTCATGGAGGGTAAGGTTATCAATGGCCACAATCCCTGATGGCTACTCTCTACCTCCACTGTGACAATACGCTTCTGAATACCATGAATAACAAATAGGGAAATGGCATAACCTCCAACATTTCTCTGATGAAAATAGGGACATCCTATTCCATAATAACAATAATAAATAATAATAATAATAATAATAATAATAATAATAATAATAATATTTTTATCATTGTTCATACCTTGCCCATCTGAGTGGGTTGCCCCAACCACCACCCTGGCCAGCTTCCAACATATATAAAAACATAATAAAATAGTAAACATTAAAACTATACAGGACTGCCTTCAGATGTCTTCTAAAGGTTGTACAGTGGTGCCTCGCAAGACGAAAATAATCCGTTCCGCGAGTCTCTTCGTCTAGCGGTTTTTTCGCCTTGCGAAGCAGCCCTATTAGCGGCTTAGCGGATTAGCGCTATTAGCGGTTTAGCGGCTATTAAAGGCTTAGCAGCTTAGCGGCTAAAAGGCTATTAGCGGCTTAGCGGCTTAGAAAAGGGGGGGGGGAGCGAAAAAAATCGCAAGACTCGCAAGACTTTTTTGTCTAGCGAAGCAAGCCCATAGGGAAATTCGTCTTGCAAAGCGCATCGAAAAACGGAAAACCCTTTCGTCTAGCGGGTTTTTCGTCTTGCGAGGCATTCGTCTTGCGGGGCACCACTGTATAGTTATTTACCTCCTTGGCTCGGGGGAGGGGGGTGTCAGATAATTCCATACCCTCCAACATTTCTTGAATGAAAATAAGGACATCCTAAGGAAAAGCGGGACATTCTAGAATCAAATCAGAAACCAGGACGGCTTCTGTAAATCCGGGGTTTCTTTGGAAAATAGAGACACTTGGAGAGTTTCAAATGGCTGTTGCACTCAGGTGACACTTGCATGATTCCCATAAGTTGGCCACAGTGAGAACAGGATGCTGAACTAGATCCAGAATGAAAAGATCATTATCCCCCCCACCTTCTCCCTCCCTCCCTCCATCTCTTTCACTGAGGACAATAGTGTCTCATACCGAATGTAACTAAACTGTGACAAAGACTCTATGAATTGAAAGTGGAGGTGCTATACTTACCTTTCCTTGTTAATTTGTTTGTTTTGTATCACAAGAAAACTGCAATAAAAACTTTTTTTTAAAAAAGGAGATTTCCTCCCCTTGAACTTGAAACAATTCCCCTCCAGGAATTGGAAGGTGAAGAGAACCACAGGGCACACAGAGCTAGCATCCTGGGAAAAGGCTGGTAGTGTAACAGTAGAACATCTGCCTCACAAGCAGAAATCCCAGGTTCAAGCCCACGTAGGGCTGGGAGAGACTTCCTGTAGAAAACCCTGCAGAGCAGCTGCCGGTCAGTGGAGCCCCTAATCCAGCTTTTGTAGGAGAAGGACTGTAGCTCGGGAGCAGACAGGGCCAGCCCACCAGTGAGGCAAAGTGAGGCAATTGCCTCAGGTGGCAAGATCCACAGGAGCAGCAGATCTGGCCTCCAAGGAATGCATCGCCTGTGGCTGCTGCTGCAGCAACAGTGACAGCCGCAGGGCACTTATTGGAGAATGGATTTGCCGCTCCCTTGGCAACACTCCCCCCCTCCCAGTGCCACCTCCACAGTGGTCTTTAGGGGAATAGGAGGTGCTGCTGGTCACCTCCAAGTCTTGTTCCCTACATAGATCTTTATCCTGCCCTCCTTGATCCTGATGTAGATCTTCACTCAGCCATTCTTCCCTGGTAGGGGTGGAGCCATCTTGCGGCTTGCCAAAATGCTTTGGGCTGGGAGCAGAGCATCTATTTTGCATGAAAAGGGCCTCAGGTCCAATCCTTGGCTTCTCCAGGGAGGGCCGACAATGTCCCTTGCCTGAAACTCTGGAAAGCCTCTATGAATCAGTGTTGAGCTACAATGATTGGACTCCAATCATAAATTTAATAATAATAATAATAACTCATTTATACCCCACCCATCTGCCTAGGTTACCCCATCCACTCTGGGCAGCTCCCAACAGAATATTAAAAACACAGTAAAACATCAAACATTAAAAACTTCCCGAAACAGGGCTGCCTTCAAATGTCTTCTAAAAGTCAGGGAGTTGTTTATTTCTTTGACATCTGGTGGGAGGGTGTTCCACAGGGCAGGCACCACTATGGAGAAGGCCCTCTGCCTGGTTCCCTGTATCTTCACTTCTTGCAGAAAGGGAACAACCAGAAGGCCCTCGGTGCTGGACCTCAGTGTCCGGGTAAAACGATTGGGGTGGAGACAGGTATGCTGGGCCGAGGCCATTTAGGGCTTGAAAGGTCAGCACCAACACTTTGAATTGTGCTTGGAAACGTACTGGGAGCCAATGTAGGTCTTTCAAGACCAGTGTTATATGGTCCCGGCAGCCACTCCCAGTCACCAGTCTAGCTGCCGCATTCTGGATTAGTTGTAGTTTCTGGGTCACCTTTAAGGGTAGCCCCACATAGAGCGCATTGAAGTCCAAGCAGGAGATAACTAGAGCACATCCCCTTGTGTGTTTAGCTTACACTCAATGTGCACACCTGAAAAGGACTTACGGTATATTTGTGGGGTCTCTCAGGAAACTGCCAACTGGTCCCCACCTACTTCGGTGTCCCCAGCTCACTGGTAAGGCTTAACGGGAGACAGTTGCAGCACTGGGGAGTTTGGGTGTGCCAATCAGCTAAAGAGGCTCCCACTTTTCCCCAGAGCTGGCTCTGGCTGAAGCTGGCTTAAGCCCCAGCCTGCAATAAGCTGTATGTTCCCTCAAGACATTTTGAGCTGCTCTGCTTGAGTTCTGCAGAGCCCAGCCAGGAGCGGTGGAAGCTACTGTTTGGGTGTATCCTTCGAAAGATAACGATCGTTAAATTGCTTTGACATCCCACTGATGAAATAGCGCTGCATAAGGGCTTAGCGTCGTTATTCATAGGGATAATGGCGTTTTATCATCTCAAAGAAAGTGGTTTAAATTCCTGAAGGGAATCAGAAAGCTCCAGCTGTAGCCTGGAAGTATTTATTAAGAGACTAGACTCTCTTTTTTCCTCCGTTCTGAAATATATCTGTATATACATTCCTGTACAGTATACATAAAGTTGTCGTCTCACAGCCCTCATTGGAAGATCCTACTTCACAATCCTGTAGACTTGCAGGAAGTCAGAACACAGCCCCCAGGGGAGGGTTTGCCGTGCCTCATCTGAATCCTGAATCAACATGAAGAAATGGAGTTGGGAAGCTGAAAAGCGAGCTTGGTAGTTTAATGGGGTGGGAAGGGAAAGTTCTAGGGCAGTGGGTGATACCGCCCCCTAGGGGCACTGGACTGATCCAGGGGGCGGTAATAGCCTCGGGTGCAATGGGGGGCACTGAATAAAAATAAGGGAGCAGTGGAACCATAAAGAAAGAAGAGAAGAAAATTTCAAAAAACCATTTGGACATGCTTCATTGGTTGTGTAATGATGCTTACCGCTAGGTAAGGAGCTATTTTGGGATGGCGACAACACCTCCCTTGGACCCGGCAGTCATGCTGGAGGCAAGGGGTATTCTTGAGATTGGGTGAACCCTTTTCTGGCTTCACCCACCCAGGCCCAGGAAATAGACTGCAGCTTGCCTGCCTATTTGGCCAACGCCAGCCCTGTCCCTGGGGCGGATCGGACTGAGCTGGCAGGTTTTAATAAATAATTTTATAATTTCAAGCTTCCCGATGTCTTATTTACAACAACCTCTTTCTTTACTATGTTGTAGGACATAGGTGGGAATATAGATACATAAAAAAGAACACAAATTTATCACTGCATCTTTGTTCGCTTAAAGAAGGTCGATTTCCATGGGGGCGGTGGGCTTTTTTTCCCCTGAAAGGGGGGAGGTAGGTCAAATAAGTTGGGAAAACTCTGCTCTAGGGGTTGATCTGGAGAGAGAAAAGCAAGGAGGCTGGCATGCAAGACAAGCAGAGGCAGAGTCCCTAGGAGATAGATGATAGATAGATAGATAGATAGATAGATAGATAGATAGATGATAGATAGATAGATAGATGATAGATAGATAGACGATAGAGATAGATAGATGATAGATAGATAGATAGATAGATAGATGATAGATAGATCCAGAAACTATAAGCATAAGTCCCACAAGATCAAACATCAACCTGCATTGAGTTTTACCACAATCCAGGCTGGCAGTTATGGGCTCCAGCTGGACCCAAGACGTTTTGTTGCCTGAGGCAAAGACCACACGACATGTCCTTCCAGGTACAGTAGCCAGCTAGCTTTTCACTACAACCCCAGTGATGGGACAACATCATCTACCCCAAACTTGAGACTAGTGGAGCAATGACCCATCAGTCTCAGCCTTTCCTCAGCCAGTAAGCACCTGCCTGCCTTCTGAAGAATGACCAGTCCAGCAGGTGGCGCTGGCTGTCAGCATCTCACTAGGGAGGAGGATGGGGTCAAAACTAGGATGAGTTGACTCTGCCTGTCATAGGCTCTGGCGCCACCTACTGGTGGGCTCCCCACCTTCTGCCCCATCAGTACTCAGTGGGCGCCAACCGCCACTGTCATCAGGAAACCTCAGAATAAAGAGCTGCAATATTCAAAAGCGGCATATTAGCCAAACAGACACACGCTGCAACAGCAAGCAGGTCATGATCTCAATGTGCAATTAAGGCCAGGGAACATTCATCTTCCATGTACAGTTAAAATAAATATAGCAGCTCTTTGTTGCATCCTTCTTCGCATAAACTTGCAGTGCTCTAGAGGCACACACCCCCCCCCCCCGCCGCCAGTACAAACTAGGTTAATTATTTCCAAAGAGCACGTCTAAAGGGTCAAAGTAGACACTGTGCTTGTGGTGTATTCTGCCCTGGAGTGCTTCGTTTATTTTTAAACAAATAGCTGGCATGTGGTGGACGCAGCTGGGTTAGGACCATAGCAGAGTGGGGTGAAAGTGGGGGACTTCTAACTTTTCGCTCCTGCTTTGGTGCTGATCGGAATTACTCCCTCCTCCGCTCCTGCTATTCTTAACGGGAGAAGAGCTCTCTCTCCTCAACAGATACTTAATGTGCATACCATTAACCTCCAAGGGGGCAAGAGTTTCCCACCTGCCTTGCCTGGGACACTTGGAACGAGGACCTGATCCCTGTCATGTATTGCTTCAGGGGAGAAACCATGGGAGCCAACAAAGGCAGGCTGCAGAAAACTGGAAGAGAAACTCTTGCGGAAGAGTTGAGCTTGCATGCAATACCCCTGTCTCTGTGGAGCATCAACGGCTTGAGCATAAGGAAGGAGGCTATTCCAATCTGCCCAGTTCACCTGCCGTTTCTGAACTGTGATGGAGCTTGAAGAAGGACTGAGCATCTTTAACTCCCTGGATGAGTGATGGGGAAATGGCTGATACGAGAGCCAGGTGAGAGCTGGGAGACAAGCTTACCATACAATGTATGCAAGCTAATTGTAGTGCGCTCCTGTGGCACATTGTTTAGGTAGAATGTCCCCCTTCCCCCCACCCGTATAACTGAGTGCTACCATTTTGTTTCCTTCTTGGACTTCATTGCCTCTCTTATGTAGTTTTAAGTTGTTAAATTAGGTTGGCTTACTTCTATTCAGTCTGTAACATTGAGGCCAAAGGGGTCCCAAACAGGGGTGCCAACTCTAGGGGGCTGAGGTATCTTCACCCCCTGAATATTTATTAGAGAGGGCCTTGTGTGCATCATGCATGTGTCATGCTCGTGACACCACAGCAGCATCAGTGGCCGGCTCCTCCAGAGTTCTCAGTCTCCTCTAGATGCCCCCTCAATCTTGAGGGCAACCTGGTGTCTCTGGTCCCAACCAATGGAAAAGGTAGAACCTTTATTTATTTAATGTAATGTAATGTAATGTGATTGTTTAATTTATATCCCACCTTTCCTCCAAGGAGCTCAAGGTGGTGTACATACTTCTTCTTCTACCCATTAAAGTCAATTAAAGATCCAATTAAATGGAGAACCTCTGCGTAGGAGTGTTTTCGCCAGGCAAAGTGCTTTTGCATTCAGCGCCTCCCTGCCTCCCACATTTCATGCTGGAGCAAGAGCCAGGTACTGAGACGAACTGCAAGTAAATCCCATTCACCCAGTCCCTGGGGGGAATTTGCAAGGATGATTTACCCTCTGTCATCCTTGTTTTTCGTTCGTCGACAATCCCCTGCTGTCGTGGGGCTGCCTCCATTAAGGCAGGTGGGACCGGAAGCCTAACCACGAACTGCTCTGACCTGACCCTGCCTCTCACCTGACCCTTGCTATGACTTCTGCTAGCTCAAACCCTAATTTTGGACTGCTTTGACTTTCCTCTCACATGACCCTTTGTTGGGAACTCTGCTTGCTTGGACTCTGATGTTGGGCCAGCCCTAGATACTGCTTCGGTTGTTGCCCCATTGAAGTCAGTGCTGGCAAGCAGTGGCGTAGCAAGGTCAGGTGGTACCCGGTGTGAAAAATTTCTTGTCACACACCCCACATTGAAATCTAGTTGGACTTCCAAGAGACTGTGATCTACTCACAGTATAAAAAGACTGGCTGTTATCTACTCATTGTCATTGCCAGGAGTTGTTGATCTTTTGGGGGGTTGCAAGGTTTGGGTCCTGAGCTGAGAGAGCTTCTGCTTCTCTCCTTCCCTCCATCCTCTGCTTGTTTGCTCACCTGCCTCCTTCCTGTCCTCTCCCTGCCTGCCTGCCTAAATGCCTCCTCCAGCAGCCTGGGACCACAGGGCTGTCAAAACAAAGCAGCAAAAAGAGACGCAACTACTGGTAGGCGGGAGTCACGGGTGGGCTGCAGGCCGAATGTCACCCCTCCTTGGGGCGGACCGCCCCCACCTTGCTCCGCCCCTGCTGGCAAGTCCTCTGTGAGAGGCCCAGTAAGAACAGGACAGTCTACAGCCAAGGTCTTCCCCATCACTTGCTTCCTGGTCTTCTTCACCGGAGGTGCCCTCTGCTTTGTCACTGAGCTGTGGGCCATCCCCTCTGATGGCACCTGGAACTGCTTACTTGCCTCATTCCATCCTTTTGTCGGCAATCTCTGATCTATCTGAAGAGCCATGGGATGTTGCGGGTTAGGTTTTCACATCGCTGCGCTGTGCCTGGAGCTTTCAATAAAAAGAATGGAAGCCTTCCAAGCTCCAAGGGAGCGTTCCATCTGCAGAACATTTTTATTACTCCAGCAGCCACAGAAGAAATTAGATCCATTAAAGATTGCTGGTTCGCTCAGGAACTGGAGGGCCAGCCTTGTGTTAGGTTGGGGAAGGGTTATCTGAACGGCCATAAATCACGTAGTGGGGGAATTGGCACAGCGGTGATTGGAGCTCAGCTGCGAGGGGGAGGGCAGGAAGTCCCCGTTCATTTGCAAAATGAGTAAGGGTGGGTGTCTTTCCATTTGAAGGACTGTAAGAGGGCAGCTGCCCCATTTCAACGAGTGCTGAGGATGCATCTCTTTAGCCTAGAGTATGATACAAGAGTCGTATATTTTTCAGGGCCTCCCCTGTTTCCTTTGACTGTAATGAGTTTTGAGCCATTTTTAATATTGAATTGTAAAACTCTATAAAACCCACCCTGGGACCTTATGGCAAAGAAATCAAATAAATGGTAAGAAATCAAATAAGGATAACGACGACAACTTCCTTACTGCATACCCTCCAACATTTCTCCAATGAAATAGGGACATTTTATTGTACATCAGGAAGCTTCTCACACATTTGATCTCGCTGTACACATAGACGTCTTATACACATAGACATCTGTCACCTTAAGCCAATTGCAATGTCACCGCCAAACCTACCACACAGGATTGTTGTGAAGGAAAAATGTGCGAGGGGATATTGCACAACACCTTCCACAGATAAATGGAATGAAATAAAATTCTAGCTGTAAGCTGCCTTGAGTACCTGTCAGGGAAAAAGTTGGGGTAAAACAACAACAACGGAAACTATGAGAATAATCAAGAACATTGTTGTTGTTTAGTCATGTCCGACTCTTTGTGACCCCATGGACCAGAGCACACCAGGCACTCCTGTCTTCCACTGCCTCCCGCAGTGTGGCCAAACTCATGCTGGTAGCTTCGAGAACACTGTCCAACCATCTCGTCCTCGGTTGTCCCCTTCTCCTTGTGCCCTCAATCTTCTCATGAGGTGGCCAAAGTACTGGAGCCTCAGCTTCACGATCTGTCATTCCAGTGAGCACTCAGGGCTGATTTCCTTCAGAATGGATAGGTTTGATCTTCTTGCAGTCTATGGGAGTCTCAAGAGTCTCCTCCAGCAGCATAATTCAAAAGCATCAATTTTTCAGCGATCAGCCTTCTTTATGGTCCAGCTCTCACTTCCATACACCACTACTGGGAATCAGGAACATACAAGAGAGTATATCCTATTGAACTCAGTGGGACTTAGTTCAGAGTAAAAATGCTTCGAAGTCCAGTGTAAGGCTGCACAGTCTTCGGCCAGTTATCTGAGAGTAAGCTCCATTGAATACAGTGGGACTTACTTCTCAGTAGACAGTGTAAGGCTCCATTTACAATAATGGAATAAACACTCCCTGCATTTCCCATACATATATAGATATAGATATAGATATAGATATATGTATGTGCTGGCTGCTAAAGCATTGCAATTAAAGAATTTAAAGTGGATCTGTGACCTTTTCCTTCAAAAGTATAGGAAGGGCTTTGTATGCCATCATCACCATTTCCTTCATTTGGTGCAGGAATTTTATTTTCAGTATAAACAGAACTAGCTCCCCCCCCCCCATCTACACACACCACTTTTAATGTTTCTCCCAAGATGTGGAGGGGAGGAAAAAGGAAAACCAGGACATTCTGGGATCAAAACAGACACCGAGATAGCTTCTGTTATTCCAGGACTGTCCCTGGAAGACAGGGATACTTGGAGGGTAAATTGCTGTCTTGTCTCAACAGCAAATTCCATCGCGTTCATTCCAACCTCCTCTTTCCTGCTGAATGTAGCAAGAAACCCACACAAAGGACATCGTCTGTAACAATCGGATGCGTTCGCAACAATTTCCTTCTTACCGCGTACACTTGACTGCTACAATTAATGAATATCTGCTCAGAGTTTCCAGAATGGCAACATGCCATACGGAGAAAGAAAACAGTGTTACTGCTTGTATATATGTGTGTAACGGTGGGAGATTGTGGGGCTGGAAGAAACAACTTATAAAAATCAATAAAAGCTTTTATGGGGTAATTTCAGTGATCACATTACACAAAGCTGGAGACAGACATCAAGTAAAAAAAAAAAAAGTTTTATGGATTCCTCCCCATTATGGATTGATTACTAGTGCATTTCATCACCATGATTTCCTTCTAAAATCGATACTCTTTTGAGTTTCCCATGGCACGATAACCTAGAAAAAGTGTTCGGGTTCAAGGACTGCTTTGGGGGGGTTTTCCAGCCCCCTCCCCCCCAAATATTCCTTCTCACTGTAGGGTGCAAGCAGACAAGCCTAGCTGAGATTACAATACATCCACTCATTCCTCGCAAAACGAGGGCTATGAAACAAAGGCTCCGACTACAAAGACAAAGCCTTATCTTCCTCCATGAATTTGCCCGATCCTCTTTCAAAGCCATCCATGTTGGGGGCCATCAATGCTTCTTGGAGGAGTCCCTGAATTAACTATGGGCTGTGTGAGGAAATGCTTTCTTTTATGTGCCCTGAATCTTCCAAAAGGATAAGTCATGCTGAAGGCAGGATGCAAGCCTTCAGTAATAGGTATAGTTGAGAGGAAAGAAGCAGACTTGGATCCTTGGTGTGAGGATCACTGGGAGATCCAGTTAAAAGGATCGAGTAAAACAGGGACTAGATCTTTACCAGGATTGACTTGCGGGCCAACTTTGGCCCAACACAACAATCCCTTGACATCAATAGGATGGGAGTGGAAGCCTTTTTTTGGATTATTTGAGAAAAATATAACCAAATGAAATCGAGGGCAGGATTTGAAATCTGAGCAACAGGAAGAAAATGCTAATACAGTCGTACCTTAGTTGCCGAACACTTCAGCTCCCTAACAATTGAAAACCAGAAGTGAGTGTTCCGGTTTTTGAACGATTTTCAGAAGCTGAATGTCAGGTGCAGCTTCCGCGGCTTCTGAAGCTGTGCCTTGGTTTTTAAACGGTTCCGGGAGTTGAATGTGTCAGATGAAATGTGTGATATTATGCAGTATATGAAGGGGATGAGTGTAAAAGCAGGTGGGAAGTCAAATTATAAGAGAAGTATCTAATAAATTTGAAATTTGAAATTAATTGGTTAAAGTTATGAAAATTTAATAAAAATCTTAAATAGGTAATAATAATAAAACAATCACTTCATTTTAACAGGGTGTCCCATGCAAACCCCATCCTGAATCGGGAAAAGGGTTACATGGAATCCAAACTGAGCAGGATCATTGCTGCTTTGGCTGCATGTGTCTGTTCTCTCCAGGAAACTGGGAGACACAGCCAACACAGGATGTAACCTCACCATACTGCCCATCAGGTGACATTCCAAACGATGTCAGCTGATGATTAGGACAGGAGTGGCTTGGGAAAAGAACTCATGGGCTAAAAACTGGATCCGCTGGAGGGTCAGGATTAGTCCGTGGGCTGGAAGTTCCTCATCCATGAAGTAGAAGTTATGGAAGGTCTTTCTCTTCTGGAGAGCTGCTGTTGGTCAGATTATACAATGCCGGGCTAGATAGACAAATACTCTGACCTTGCATAAGGCAGGTTACTGTGTGCCTCACCCAGGAATGCAGAATCTGAGGATTTCCTGTTGTTGTTGTTGTTGTTGTTGTTGTTGTTGTTGTTGTCTTACATCTCCCACCATCCCTGATCACTGCCTATGCTGAATGGGTCTGATGGGAGCTAGGAGTCTCCAACAACCTTGGGAAGTGGAAGCACAGGATCCTCATCCCTGTGGAATATGTTGACTTCCTATGTTTCTGAAAACTGACATTTCCTAAGAGTGATTCTAATTTTTGCAAGTAAAAATAACGGGCGGCGTATGTTCCTGCTCTGTCAGCTAAAGGGACCTCTTGATGAAGAGGTCACAACTGCCTCTGGATTCTGCTGCTTTAAAATAAATATAAATCTAGCAATGCTATAGCGAAGTTATCTACCAGCCCTTTCTACATGATGAAGAGTACCACATACTCCTAGGCCAACACTACAACTACAACAACAAAAATTCCCCCTACCTATTTTGGTATTCTCCCTTGCTACTCACAGAGCTGCACACACCACTTCTCTTTTGATTAGGCAGATCAAACCATTTATTTCCTAAAAATGAATACGTACAAGACTGAAAAGCCATTTCAGTATACCGTGGTAGAAGCTGCGAGATTCCTCCCGCCCTGCACCCCGCTGCTGAACCCAGTCGAGGCTGAAATATTGTTTACTGTAGTTGAAAATTAAGTTCCTAACTTGCGAGGCGTAAGTGGGGTGCTGAGCAGAAAATGGGGATAAGATCACAAACCTTGCTGAAACAAATGGCATGCCCACCATCCTTTCCTCATGCAGAAAGGTACAGCAGTAAGAATGGAAGTTTTTCGAGCCGGGAAAGCACAGGTTTCTAAACTAGGATGTGGTGTTACAGGAATGCCAAGGCTGCAGGCTCCAAAATGGCGGTGGGGTGGAAGGCTATACCACCCTGGTTTTCACAGTGATCCACCAGATGCTTATGGGAAGAGCACAAGCAGGATGTGCACTCAATAAGCAGTCTCCAGCCCATGAGTCACAGAAACTGATACTGGAGATTGCTTCTGGCACTGGAGGCAAAAACCAGGGAACATAAGAACAACTTGTGGGATCAGGCCAGAGAACCATCAGGTCCAACATCAAGTTCTTACAGTAGTCAGTCAGGTGACCATGGGAAGCCCACAAGCAACAGTACTCTCCCTTCCTGCATTTTCAGGTATTCAGAAACGTACTTCCTGCAACACATGGAGATGGACCATAGCCACCAGGTTAGTAGCCATTGATAGCCATAGCTGCTGTGAATTTGTCCAATCTTCTTTTAAAGCTATTCAAGTCGGTGGCCATCCCTGCCTCCTGTGGAAGTGAGTTCCCCACAGTTTATCTTTGCACTACACGAAGAAGGGCTTTTTCTCTTTTTTCCTTTCCAGAATCTTCCAGCATTCAGTTCAATTCAATGTGCAGATGTGAGAAGCATCCCAAGTCTGGACTCCTCAAGGCTGCCACATCCTAATACCCCCCCCACTTCCCCACAGCAGCTAGCAGCCCCTCCTGTTATTAGGCAACTTATGGGATCAACCATTCCCTTTTGGAATGCTCTGTGACATCACAGCAGTTAAGCCAATGCCTGAGGAGCTCAGGACTGTCGCTTTATAGCGTTTTCTCCTTCTCAAAAGTGGCTGCTCAAGGAGAAAAACAGCAACTTTAGGGCTGTCAAATGATCCGCACAGAAGGCCAGCCAAGAACACAGTTCTAATAGTTCTCCTTGCATGATTTAAAAACAAAACAAAAACCCTTACAGGGCTGAATCTTTTTGCTTCCAAACATTGTGTGTCTCCACCTCTCTCCTGCATCTTGATGAGTAACCAGACCTTTAATTCAAAGTAGTGCAACCCACTCCCTGATCAACCATGACAGTTACAACTGGGTCCCATTAGGCCAGAAAGGAGGAGACTATAACTCCTTGCTTGTTAATTGCCTTTTTGCAAAGTCTATCCTGCTTCTGCAACTGGACTTCCTTAAACTGACTCCTCTAGCTCCTATAATCTTTGGAGTCATCTCTGTACTGATGAACGCAGAAGCAGACATCTGAAGCACCACATCATAGTTGACCTTCCCAAGTAATAATCCCACTATCTTTCCCTTTCCTACAGTGAGCTTTTATATATATATATTTTACAGAAACATTAAATATTTACTTTGATTGTTATTCTCTTTCATTAGTGACTGAGCCATAGCGGGCTCCAAAATGCTGAAAGGGAGCGGCATGTGAATGCATCACTGTCTTGGGAATATGGCTGCGTTTGCAAAAGGCAAAAAGGAAACTACACAAGCTCTGCTCCCTGTAGGGCTCAGCCAAACGTCTGGTTCGCTCGCAGTTTACAAATGGTTTCCCTGATTAATCATTCACAGAAAACGACAGCGGTAAACAGCAACTGAGTCCAAGGCAATGCTAGCAAAACCACAAGTGTCAGCCACAATCGGCATAGCCCGGCCCTACCGTTAGGCGAAGGGAGGCAACCAGGTGGCTGAGCATGGAAGATTCGTCTTCATTTGCTTTTGCTTTTGCTTTTGCTTTTTAAAATGCATTGGTGTTCTCATTTTGTATTTTCCTGTTGCGGATCGCCCTGCAATCTTCAGGTGCAAATTTAATAAGTGAATAAATGTAATACTAAATGAATAAATAACTAAATAAGCAAACAAAAATAACAGTGGAAGCTCCCAAATAGGGCCAGCCCGCTCATGAGGCAAGGTCAGGAGGTTGCCTTAAGGCAGCCTTTCTCAACCTGTGGGTCCCCAGATGTTGTTGAACTACAACTCCCATCACCCCTAGCTAACAAGGCCAGAGCTCAGGGATGATGGGAGTTGTAGTCCAACAACATCTGGGGACCTACAGGTTGAGAACCACTGCCTTAAGGTAATAGATTCCGGATAGGTGGAAAAGGCTGCAGATCTGCCTCCTGCTCCTGCCAGCTTCTTTGCTGTGCGCTCACCGCTTCCGCTGGGTAGTGGCTGTTAGTATTTCATGCAGCCGATGCTGCAAATGTGACTGGTGTGAATCACATGCCTGTCTGAGAAGACTGTGGGAATGGAAGACAGCCTTATCTCTCTTCCGCTGTATGTAGTGGTACCTCGGGTTAAGTACTTAATTCGTTCCGGAGGTCCGTTCTTAACCTGAAACTGTTCTTAACCTGAGGTACCACTTTAGCTAATGGGGCCTCCGCGCGATTTCTGTTCTCATCCTGAAGCAAAGTTCTTAACTCGAGGTATTATTTTTGGGTTAGCGGAGTCTGTAACCTGAAGTGTATGTAACCCGAGGTACCACTGTACTTTGTAATGTACTTTCACTTTTGGTTGTTCTCTCGGAGGGAAAGAGAATGGTTGCCATTATGCTGTACCTAGCAGGGAGAAAGTCAACCAAACATATAGAGGAGAAATTCTGTCATATAGCTACACAGCCAGTCACAGCATGTGCAGCCTCAATGAGGACCATGCCACTCTGACACACGCAATGATCTCGGCTGCTACACTTCCAACACCAACAACATCTGGAAGCCCACAGGTCCCCCCCACGCTAGAGTTAGTGGATCCATCTTTGAGCATTAGCAGCAGAGGTTGTTTATATATCCAAGTTGTCAGTGGTTTAAGCTGAAAGCCTGTTTTTTATTTTTAGGATTGACTGCTAGTCATGTTGAATCTCCCTCCTGACAATCCAGAACTGTCCACCATGCTGAGAAGAGGGAGGGAGAAACCGACTATAGGGTGAGTTCACAGGGGTAGGAGGACACTTTCTGCCCCCTCAATATGCTCACAAGCCTACACACAACATGAGCGCCATCTTTTCCTGCTGAGGAACGTGGGTTTTGTAGCTTCTCCCGCCTACCAGCTGACAAGTATTTCTCCTCAATGTGAGATGGAAGCTTCCAGTTAATGGGAAGAAGGAACAGTCTCTCTTGTCCCTAGTGAAAATTAGGAGAACATTGGGTGGGAATGGTGGTTTTTGTCCATTGGGACTGGTAGGACAGAAGCCAGGGAGACAGACAGTAGGGGGAGCCAGAGTCAATGTTAGACTGTTAGATGGAGTCAACTAATTCTACAGCAGCAATAAATTCATCTTAATAAACAAACTTCAATTGTTGGGAGTTTCTCCCATTTGCTTCCTTACCTCTTTCTTTCCTTCCCAAAAATCAATATCAGGTATATATATATATAGAGAGAGAGAGAGAGAGAGAGAGGACACTTGAAAAGCTCAAGGGAAGCAAAAACAACAACACAACCCAGCTTATGAAATCTCCCCAGAAAAGTCCTTTAGGGTTTGTCCCCTAAATTGTGATACTTTAGTGCAGGCATAGGCAAAATCCGGCCCTCCAGATGTTTGGGACTACAATGCCCATCATCCCTAGCTAACAGGATCAGTGGTCAGGGATGATGGGAACTGTAGTCCCAAACATCTGGAGGGCCGGAATTTGCCTATGCCTGCTTTAGTGGTCAGCTTCTCAGAAACCCACTCCTTTAGTGGTCAGCTTCTCAGAAACCCACTCCACGCTTCTGAAGAGAGGCTCCCGCCAAACCTTTCCAGAATCTAGGGAGCAAAATCATTTTTGTGTGTGAATTTTGCAATATTTGGTTTGACTTCGATGATCACATAGCAAAGCTGCCAACAGAAAAGCAGTGCAGTGCACATTTATATAAGGAACAAATTCAGCTTCTTGTGGCACATCGTGAGTCAAGATTTTTTTGGTGAAGTTACAGATAATAATCCCAATTATTTGCTTATTTTACTATTTGTTGTTATGATAAATGCATGTATTAAGGCAAATGGCCTTGGAAATTTTGTCATCACATTTGTTTTGTTTAACTCAGTAAAGTTTGCCTGGGGGGGTGCAACAGCAAATCTCTCAGGAAAAATGAACACCCCTGTGATAAATTTTAAGGAGCCCCTCCCCCAAAATAAATGTTTATGTACTTTCTTTCGTCTCATCTGTCAGCTGACATCTTCAATGACAAGTCGGTGTCAAAAGAGAGAGACAGAGAGAGCATGTGACAGATAGCTAGTTCAGCCTTGCCATTGACTCCTGGCAGCTCTTGTATTTTGCAGTTCTTCATTTGGAGACATATCGCTGCATTTCAAAGAATGCTGTTGACTGTCGGATTCATCCCTGACCACGGAGCAGGTGCCCTCAGAATAAACCCCACAGAGAAAAATAGAAGGCTGCGTGTGGAGAATGCTTCAGTTGCGTGTTTCCCCCGTCATATGAGAGGCTTTCAACAACAGAAAAAAAACACCAAAACAAAAAGCAAAGGACCCACTCAGGCAAAGGGAAGCAGAGATAAGAGGGAGCTTTTGTAAGGCTGGCTGTGCAGATAGCATGAACCAGACAACAGATCTAAGCGACTTCCGTGACAATGCCCAACGTTATTAAACGCAGAGAACAGCTCTCGCTCAGTTTTGCTGTTCTTTCACAATGAATTTGAATCAAAGGAGGGAACTTCCCAGGGCTCGGGGGAAACCTCAGGTGCAGAGAGGGGGCTCTCTCTCTTACCCTCAGTGCTCTCCCCAGGACACACCCTTCCAGGAGGGTCTACTGCAGTGGTCCTCAAACTTTCAGGATGGTGATGATGATAATAATAATAATAATAATAATAATAATAATAATAATAATAATATTTATTATTTGTACCCCGCCCATCTGGCTTGGTTCCCCAGCCACTCTGGGTGGCTTCCACAAAGGCCAAAAATACACTAAGATGTCACACATTAAAAACTTCCCTGAACAGGGCTGCCTTAAGCTGTCTTCTGAATGTCAGGTAGTTGTTTATCTCTTTGACATCTGATGGGAGGGTGTTCCACAGGGCGGGCGCCACTACCGAGAAGGCACTCTGCCTGGTTCCCTGTAGCTTTGCTTCTCGCAATGAGGGAACCAGCAGAAGGCCCTTGGCGCTGGACCTCAGCGTCCGGGTAGAACAATGGGGGTGGAGACGCTCCTTCAGGTATACTGGGCCGAGGCTGTTTAGGGCTTTAAAGGTCAACACCAACACTTTGAATTGTGCTTGGAAACATACTGGGAGCCAAAATTTGCTCGTGCCACACCAATGTTTTTATTAGTAAGAAACACGTTGGAAAACAAAAATACACTGGAAAACAGAAGAGCACAACTCCTTTACACATACCCTCCAACATTTCTCTGATGAAAATAGGGATGTCCCATTCCATAATGATAATTTTGCTATTTATACCCCACACGTCTTACTGGGTTGCCCCAGCCACTCTGGGCAGCTTCCAACATATATTAAAACATAATAAAACATTTTTAAAAAAAACTTCCCTGCACAGGATTGCCTTCAGACAGATCAGGGGGTAGATAACTTTATACCTTCCAACATTTCTCCAATAAAAATAGGGACATCCTAAGGAAAAGTGAGAGATTCCGGGATCAAATCAGAAACCGGGATGGCTTCTCTAAATCAGGGAGGTCCTTGGAAAATAGGGACACTTGGAGGGTCTGCTTTACAATGTGACACTGGGACATCCAAAAAGTATAAAACAAAGCAGCTACAGAAGAACACGAATCATTCCCAAAATATCATTATAAACAAGCCTCTTATGTACCTTAAATATGGCTACAAGCTCTATGAGAAGTGTGAGCTTGCTTTTGCCAGGTAATCTCATTTATATTAGGTCTAACTGGAGGCAAATGACCTCTCATCTCCTAATCAACACAAAAAAGCCTTTGACGTTTCTGAACTTTCATATTTGTCAGAGTTGAAAACCCCTGTTCAAAACACTGTCATGGGTGCTGAAGCAGAGAATCTCCAGCCAAGATGACCAAGATGAAGTACCTTCCAACTCCATGATACTAGGAGCCAGGAGGAAAAACACCTTTCTACCCCACTTAGCATTCACACTTTGAGACATGCAAACACGGGTTTTCAGGTTTACTCTGCAATTGACAGAATCACCATCTCAATCCAAAAGGACAAAACCAACCAGAGGCTAAATGTTTCCTTCAGTTTCTCTCTCATCCCTCCATCAAGACATTACTTGTATATCTCCCCCAATCATTTTGAGCCTCTCCAGACCATCTGTTGTTAATTTTCTAGCTCTATTCAGTTACATTCCTGGCTACATTTTTAAGCAATGAGGCCAATTACACACAAGGCAGGTTTTGGCTGTAAAACTTTAATGCGTTTAAAGTATACAGATTAAAAAAAACCCCCACCACCAATAGCTATTTTGTGCAGTTGACCTGTTTAAGATGCACAATTCAACAATGCTAAACAAAGGTATCAAGGCTTTCCCCAACCTTAGTCTCACTGCAAGGAGCAGGAAGAGGACAAAAGAGGACTTCGTTGACTCTACCCATCATTGACTCCAGCTACATGTACTATTGGACCCCTGCCTTCTGCCCTACCATTTCTAACAGACTCCAAAACCCAGTGGAATAGTGTGGAGGGGCCACAGGGCCGGTTGCCCTGGATGCAAAATTGTTAGGGACACAAAATTTTGCTGCCTCAATATAGCTGTGTGCTTCTGTTGTTGGGCTCTATTGAAAACAGCTTCCCTATGTGAACCAGGAAGTGACCTCTCCCTCCCTTCCACATGACCCTGGGTGCTGGCAATCCATGCTATGCCACTGCCCAAACCACTGCTGAGTATTACCAATAATACAACAGTGGATGCCAAAGAATCAAGACTCTCTACTTTTCCACATCACTTTGTGATTGATTGATTTTAAAATACTCAGTTCATCTGTGAAACTATCCTAATATGCAAAGCATATTATTTTCACCAATATCTATTTGCATTTATGTGCACACTTTACCCTAGTATATGCACTGTTGTACACTGTTACTTGGCTGGAGAACTACATTGCAAAATTCAGAGAAGTGTGACTTTTGAAGGGTAGTTGTGTTTCAGTTTGTGCGTTGCTTCTGAAAGTGCAGATTAGATAGACTCCACTTTAAATGCAAACTGAATCAATTTTCTCCCCGATGCCTAATGCCCACATTCATTCATCACTGTGCTGTTTTGGGTTCTCCTGTTTACATTTCCCCCCTTTGCACTACAAGCTTGGAGATTTCCCTCACTAGTCTGCTGATAATCCCCCCCCCCTTTCTGTGTGAGTCACACTGTTTTAGTTGCATAAAGATCAGTGGTGCTCAGAGCAGCACAGCAGAAAAAGTGCACCAAAGGAGAGGGGGAAACAGCAGCTCTTTGGGACCCCGGGGCTTCGTATTGCCTGGTGTCCCAACAACTCACTTATCACACTCTGACTTCACTTATTGGCTAAAAGCATTGACAGACAGGAGCAGCAAAACTGGCTCACTTTACAGAAATTGATTAGAATTCTATCGGCACATCCTTTCTAGGACGGCTAGAGACTTCCTTATTTTTCAGAAAATGAAAGCTCAGAGCCTAAGGTCTTTCCCTGGTGGTGGCATGGTGCCCACGAGTGCTGGGTGGCAACCCCTGTTGTACAGGATTCTGTACATGTGTCCTAAGCAGTCAGGTTAATAAGATTGCTCTGTGGATATATCCACCCCGATTCTTTAATATTAACCTCTCCTGAAACACAACTCTCACTTGTTTGTATGAATTATGTGCCCATCCAACTAACCGGTGTATTCATTTCCCCCATCTCTTGCCACTTCAGCTTATAGGGTTGTTTTTTTCTTGGGTCAAGGGACCAGCATGTCTCATTTGGTCACTTGAACTCATCACCTTTGTGGTACACGAGATTTACAAGCACCTGCCCAAGGGGATGACCAGCCAACTGGAAAAATACATACTTGAAAGGTGACGGCATAGGCTGATGTTTTAATGCAGAATTTGCCAACAGCTGGGTTCTCCAAAGACCACTAAGGTGACTCCCCTAGAGGGAAACAGGAGAGTGTGTTCCCACCTGAGCACATCTGAGAAAGCAGCAAGAAAAATCATAGAATCATAGAATCATAGAGTTGGAAGAGACCACAAGGGCCATCGAGTCCAACCCCCTGCCAAGCAGGAAACACCATCAGAGCACTCCTGACATATGGTTGTCAAGCCTCTGCTTAAAGACCTCCAAAGAAGGAGACTCCACCACACTCCTTGGCAGCAAATTCCACTGTTGAACAGCTCTTACTGTCAGGAAGTTCTTCCTAATGTTTAGGTGGAATCTTCTTTCTTGTAGTTTGGATCCATTGCTCTGTGTCCGCTGTCCAGATTTTGACACTCACCATCCCTTACAGATCTCCCTTCTTTTTTAATCACATTGAATTCCAAACAATGTATGTGTTGATCTGCTAAAAGTTCTCTTTTTCAAACTCAGCACTGTCATTTTCGTTCAAAGCCTGTCACTTTTCTCCGTACAGAAGTCTCAGACCTCTGAGGCAACATCTAGATGGAAAGGGTAAAGGTAAAAGTAAAGGTAAAGGACTATTAGGTCCAGTCGTGGCCGACTCCGGGGTTGCGGCGCTCATCTTGCTTTATTGACCGAGGGAACCGGCGTACAGCTTCTGGGTCAAGTGGCCAGCATGACTAAGCCGCTTTTGGTGAACCAGAGCAGTGCACGGAAACGCCGTTTACCTTCCCGCTGGAGCGGTACCTATTTATCTACTTGCATTTTGACATGCTTTCAAACTGCTAGGTTGGCAGGAGCAGGGACCGAGCAATGGGAGCTCACCCCGTCACGGGGATTCGAACCGCCAACCTTCTTATCGGCAAGTCCTAGGCTCTGTGGTTTAACCCACAGCACCACCCGTGTCCCAACATCTAGATGTAGCAACACCTTATTCTTCCAGAGAGTGAGGGGTTCTGCTTCTGGAACCTCAAAGCACTCATATTGGGAGCCACAGATAGAGAACTCAACATTAACCAAAAGTGTGTGGGTTAAAACTTCAGTGTAAACTCATTGTTTTAAGAACTGCTTGCTTGGCATCCCACTTTTTCAGAATTTCACAAGCATTATGGTGCTACAGTTGAGATCCATTTGCTCTCTGACATTTGCCCTTATTTTATCCTCTGTCAGTTTTGACAGTCAATATTTACCAGAGAGCTTTGGAACACCTGCCAAATACTTGATATTTGTGTTTGAGTATGGGTTCTATGATATCTAGCTGTCTGAGCATTAGCTCAAAGTCAATGGACTTTAACACTTGACAGCATTTGAAACTAGGCTGAGCTTTTCTTATTCTTATCATCAGGGAGGCTGAGCTGATGTTTGGCCGTTGTGGATGGGATTTGGAAAATTCATACCCAACACTCCAGCTTTACATGGATGGAAATAGGTGCCCATGGGCAACCTTGTTCTAATACCAAAGCACACTGTCTGAGCTCCCCCTGCCCCCAATTATTACACAGAAAACTTGAGCTTCAGTGTGCAAAAGGGTAGGCTCTGTGCCACATGCTATCATACTGTGCATGTTCATTCTTTAATGAACATGCATGTGTAAAGGACAAAATCAATCCACTCCCCATCAGAGATTTAAGTTCTAGAAACCTTGGGATGGACCTAGTTATAGAGAAACAACAATTCTAGAAATTCATACTGGGGGATGTCGAACTGTTTTTTTTAAAAAAAAGATTCAAACTGGAACATTAGAATCAGGAAACAGAAACTGGGACTATCTAAAAATGGACGACTCTCTCACATTCAGGTTCTCATATTCCTTAAATTCAAATTCTGTTCCCTAGAACCTCAAATTTAGTACTCTGCATTTAGGCACAAATTTGAATAATAAATAAAATACCTTCCCCAACTTTCTCAGTGCTTCAGTGTGAATATCCCCCTATAAACATATATTTGACTAATATATACATTTTTAAAAGCTAGTTCCCTTAAGACAATGCTCATTTGTATGCATTAAAATAATGCATGTTTTCATGGTTTCCCTAAGCATTTACACATCAGTTGTTTGAAGAACTGCATTGCAAAATTCAGAGAGGTGCAAATTCTGAAGGAATTTGGTTCATGGACTAGCTTGAGAAGTGTGGATTCATTTCTTTGCAAGATGCAACCAAAATCTGCTCCCTCTCCAGAGCTCTCCTTGCTAAACAAAAGCAGCTAGAACCCACGAAAGAGCAGTACAGTAGCCCCAAAATCCACTGAGGGGAAAAATTAAGGCTTGTTGCATTTTGCTCGCAAATGGGGACATGAAAGTCTGTCCCTGAAAGAGCGATTTAGCAATCCATTAGTGTCTGCTTACAGTAAACACAGCCCAAGCTGTTCAGAACACCGAAGCAACAGCACTACCGTTAATGTAAAATATTAATGTCTCATTTGTTCAACAATTTGGTGGAAAATGAAAAACTTTTAGGTTAATCATACACTGAACAGTTTTAATTAAAGCAGTTATAAAACAATTAATCCACAAGAACTGCCTTGGCTCCATGCCAGGGTTATTGGTTTAATGCTGCTAGAAAAAAAATGCCTATTCTCCAACACCCCCCTTCCCGCCTTTGACTTAATGAATGCTAATAAGAGACACAATATATGCACAAAGAGCTCCAAAAATAGTTGGCCCATCTGGTTTCCATTACAGTTTGGATTTGTCCTTTCACATTGATAGGGGGTTTTTCTTTTCTTTTTCAAGAACGCTTTCCTTCTCGAAAAGCATTCAGAACTCTGTGGCACATTTTGCTAAACATAGGGGTGGCCCATGAGTGGTGCTGTGGTCTAAAACACTGAGCCTCTTGGGCTTGCCGATCGGAAGGTTGGCAGTTGGGATCCCTGCAACGGAGGGAGCTCCCACTGCTCTGTCCCAACTTCTGTCAACCTAGCAGTCTGAAAGCACACCAGTGCAAGTAGATAAACAGGTACTGCTGTGGTGGGAAGGTAAACGGTTTTTCTGTGTGCTCTGGTTTCTGTCACAGTGTTCAATTGTGCCAGAAGCTGTTTAGTCATGCTGGCCACATGACCCGAAAAGCTGTCTGTGGACAAACGCCAGCTCCCTCAACCTGAAAGCAAGATAAGCACTGCAACCCCATAGTCACCTTTGACCGGACTTAACCATCCAGGGGTCCTTTACCTTTACCTTTTACCTTAGAAGAAGAGGAGGAGGAGTTTGGATTTGATATCCCACTTTATCACTACCCGAAGGAGTCTCAAAGCGACTAACAATCTCCTTTCCCTTCCTCCCCCACAACAAACACTCTGTGAGGTGAGTGGGGCTGAGAGACTTCAAAGAAGTGTGACTAGCCCAAGGTCACCCAGCAGCTGCATGTGGAAGAGCGGGGAATTGAACCTGGTTCACCATATTACAAGTCCACTGCTCTAAACCACTACACCACCCTGGCTCCTTACAGATCAAACAGCTACCCAAGGCAGTCATGGGGGTAGGAAGAAGCACCATGAAAGCTCACAGAGAATGAAAAACTCTCAAATGACACAATGCACAGAATTTGCCTGGATGCACTGGTGGAAGAAGAGGGGGGCTGGGGGAACGCACCGCCCCTGGCACCACAATCCCAGTGGGGTGCCATCATGGCTGCCCCTCCCCCCGTGCTGGGTGCCAGCAGGCCCCCGGGATGTGCGCCAGCCATGCCACACCTGCTCTCTGCCCCTGGTGCCGGAGAGTGAACCTCGGCCATTGCCGGGACATAACCCTTCAGGAGAAACCCCTTAACTGCAGTTAGAGCTGGTCATGTAAGAGCTTGGTATCTCTTAGAATCATAGGATCATAAGTTGGAAGGGACACGAGGGTCATCTATCCTGACCCCCGAAATGCAGGAAATGCAACTAAAGCATCCATGACGGATGACCATCCAACCTCTGCTTAAAAACCTCCCACGAAGGAGAGACCACAACCTCCCGAGAGAGGCCATTCCACTGTTGAATATATATATATATATATATATATATATATATATATATATACACACACACACACACACACACACACACACACCGCCCTTCCTGGTTCAGAAAACAGCTCTTACTGTCAGAAAGGTATTCCTGATGTTTAGTCAGAATCTCCCTTCTTGTCAATTGAAGCCATTGGTTCAAGTCCTACTGTCTAGAACAGGAGAAAACAAGCTTGCTCCATTTTCCATGTGGCATGTGCCCTTAAGATATTTGAAGATGGCTATCGTATCTCCTCTCAGTTTCCTCTTTAAGATTTGGAAACTATGAAAGGAGCAACAAAAGCTCGATGACATTTTCATGGGTGGGGTGCCGAGTTTTTGCTCTGCATATCTAGCTTCTGTGTTGACCGACGAACTCTTATGAGTCTCCTTTCCTTCATTCTGCAAATCCCTCTCACCAGCGATCTGCACTCTGCAACCTTCTCAGATGATCGTGCTTTGTGATGGGGGAGAAAATTGATTTCATTTGCATTTTAATAAGAAACAACCCAATTTACACCTCTCCAACCAATACATTAAAATGGTAATGAATTTTCATAAGGATTATTCAAAACAAAAAACAAATTGCTACAGAAATGTGAATTTAAGGTTCGGAAATAAGAAACTAAAATTGAGTGATTGGCCCATTAGGGCATGTCATTTTAGGGGGTAAAACTTAATTTTTGCAAATTTATTCAGTGAGGGGGGTCATAAAAATGTTTTTTGTGTGTGTGTGAGGAATTCAAATCTGCTATTATTTTTGTGATTGGGCAACATTTAGCTTGGTAAGTCCATGTTTGATTTAGAAGCAAATAAAGTGCTCTCAGAAAAACAGAGAATTTAAACTTTACCTTCAGAAAGCGTCAGGTAATATAAAATAGTGTGTGTGTGTGTGTGTGTGTGTGTGTACATGCATACATATACAAACACACACACACACACACACACACACACACACTGCAAGTACTTGGCAAACATTTCTAAGGATTTCTATGCAATTTTATAGACATTTCATTTTCCAAGCAAAACTAATTCATCTAACCAAAATACCTTTTGAATTCCCAAGTCAGGTTGCAACTTTTTGCAGCCTTCATTTTTGGAATTTGAACATTGAAAAATTCAACACGCCCTGCTGGCCCATTTCTTCTGGAGATCTCTTTACTCTTAGTTTTGAAATGAGCTGGGATTTTGGGGTGAACAGGTGGAGTTTACCCTCTCACCTCTCCTCGTGACCCCAGTAGAAATCACTGTTCTATTTTACAGAAGTAGCTCCCTTGCCAATTCAAATATAAGAAGTGTTTGTGGGCACGTGTGTGTTTCAGAATTTTATTTGGACCTGTCTTCTTCCACTCTGATGCTGTATTCCAATGGAGAATGTGGTGAAGTGAAAGCTGGTTAGAAGTTGCAATGCCACAGGCAGCTCCAAGTGAGCAACTTGTTCTAACAAAGGCTGGGAGCAGACTGTAGCCTCTTAATTCACTGTCTCCAGAGAAGAGATCTTGTAGAGATCTTCAGAGCTTTAAAGAACCAATATGAACACTCCCCTGCCATTCTATAGCCTCTCACCTAATGCACTGGTTTGAAGAGTGGTGTGATACATCTGGTTCCTCCAGCACTGGTGGGCCCAGGAATATCTCTGGGGGCTCCTGTCCACCAGTCTTGGTGCAGTGGTCCCCTGATCTCCTGCAGCTGGCTCAGAGCCCTGAACTTGATCTGCCACCTTACCTGGTGCCTCAGCAGCCTTCAAATCTATGTCTCCCCCCCTACTGTGGTCTTGATGCTGCTCAGGCTCCCCCATGGCTGCTATTTACATAACAAAAATGTGCAATTACAAAATGCCCCCTTCTGCCTTCAAATTCCCCCTTCAAAGGGGATTTCCACAAAACTAGATGCCCCCTCTAGGCTGGTGACAAGGCTGCTGCAAAATGTTTCGACAGTTCTGCTTTTCTGGGAGAGAACCTGCTGAATAGGTTAAGTGGAGGCCCTGAGATCTTTTTTTGAGCATTGTGAACCATTTAATTATCCAGAAGTTCCTTTGCCACATGCCTGTTTCTGAGCTTGTTAGTGGGCTGACCTTTTGCCTGTGGGAACCTCTGCCTGAGCGCTCCCAGAAGAATGGATGGCTCAGAAAAGCTATCATGAATGACAAGGAAGAGAGCGCCATGAAGTACACAGCTGAGACCTAATGGCTTGCCCTTGTCAAAGATGCTCAGGCATCACCCAGAAAGAGAGACAAATCAATGTTGTGCCTCATTGCGCTCTGTGATCCTCTGCAAATATCCTTGTTTGGGAAGGACTTTCTGAAACTAAAATGCTTTAGAATACCAGCACAAAAAGCAGGCCCACATGTATGTGTATGTGTGTGTGTATTCAAGTATGCATTTAATCCACACTGTGTTACAAAGCTGCCTGATATGGCGACATAAAGGCTGGCAAACATCAACCTTCCCATGTAAAAGGTAAAGGACCCCTGGACAGTTAAGTCCAGTCAAAGGCGACTATGGGGTGTGGCGCTCATCTCGCTTTTCAGGCCAAGGGAGCCAGCGTTTGTCCACAGACAGCTTTCTGGGTCATGTGGCCAGCATGACTAAACCGCTTCTGGAGCAAAGGGACACCGTGACGGAAACCAGAGTGCAGGGAAATGCCGTTTATCTTCCTGCCACAGCGGTACCTATTTATCTACTTGCACTGGTGTGCTTTCGAACTGCTAGGTTGGCAGGAGCTGGGACAGAGCAGCAGGGGCTCACCCCATCAAGGAGATTTGAACCGCCAACCTTCTGATCGGTAAGCCCAAGAGGCACAGTGGTTTAGACCACAGTGCATCCCTGCCATGTAGGATTCCCTTACGGATGACCACAGTGTGTGGCATAGGGTGACATTCCCTGTTTGGCCTCTAGCAGCAAAAGGTCCTGGACTGCCTCTGCCCAGAACGCTGTCTTATCCAGACAGAATAATGCTTCCCTTGCACAATCTAGCTCCAATCAGGCTGAGCATGCGTCTGCTAGCAAGGCTACACCTTGAGCAACACTTAAGGATATGCAGAATAGAAGATGTCTCTGCTGTCAAAATCCTATTACTCTGCAGCAGGTCCCTCCTTGCCAGATAACACAATGCCAGCAGGCCTGCAGGGTATCCTCCAAAGCCAATAAAATAAAAACACATCCAGTTATGCCAGAGTTAATCTACGCAAGTTCTCTTTCAGAGCATCAGCTGCAGGGGCAGGGCACGGGGAACCCAAACAGAATCATTCAAATGGGCTTAACAAATGCATTGTAGCATCCTCCCAGCAGGCATTGCTCAAGGTGCAGGAAGTTTGACGCATACGTACACTCCGAAAAGAAGATTTCAGGAGAAGTGCAATTTTTTTTTTTTTTTAAAGGAAAAGAATAGAGCTGTTCTGCCTGACACAATTCCAGTGCTGGGTGCACAAATATTAAGAGCTTATGCAGAGGTACAGAGAGGAACCATTGCTGGCTGGCTATTTCAATGCCAAGTTCTAGTAGCATCAGAAAGAAAACCTCTAGCCTAATGGGAGAGAAATTCGATTCACTTTGCATTTTAAAGGGGAACCTTCCTGACTTGCACATTCCAAAACAATGCATGAATAGAAGCCCAGCCATACTTCAACAGTCTCACTTACCTGAATTTCGCCATTCACTTCTCTAGCCAAGTACAGTGGTACCTCGGGTTAAGTACTTAATTCGTTTCAGAGGTCCGTACTTAACCTGAAACTGTTCTTAACCTGAAGCACCACTTTAGCTAATGGGGCCTCCTGCTGCTGCCGCACCGCCAGAGCACGATTTCTGTTCTCATCCTGAAGCAAAGTTCTTAACCTGAAGCACTATTTCTGGGTTAGCGGAGTCTGTAACCTGAAGCGTATGTAATCTGAAGCATATGTAACCCGAGGTACCACTGTAATGTGTATTTTTTTAAAAATAAATAAAAAATTCATATATCCGGGCTAAGCATGCATAAAAGTGCATTTAATGGTGAAAACGTACAAAAATGTGAAAAATGTGAATTTTAGGCAAAATTACATAGAAAAGGATGCATGTTAGGCGAGATTTGCACTAAAAAACTGGTGAATTCCCATGAAGATTCTTTTTTTAAAAAATCATAAACTGATGTAGGAATGTTGAGAACTGAAGAATGAAGAAACGAGAAACAGAGAAGCCACCGTTGACAGATTCATCCATCCCTGCACTAACCACTTTCTCTGCACCATTATTTATTGTTGATTTGTCATATTTATATCCGCCTTTCCTCCCAGGGGCTCAAGGTGGCAAACATGTTTCTCTTCCACCCCATTGTATCCCCACAAAATAGCCCCGTGAGCTAGGTTAGACTGCGAGACTGTGACTCGCCCAAGGTCACCCAGTGAGTTTCATGGCTGAGCGGGGATTTGAATCCTGATCTCTCAGATTCTAGTCCAACACTCTAATCTAAAGGTCAGCAACCTTTTTCAGCAGGGGGCTGGTCCACCGTCCCTCAGACCATGTGGTGGGCCGGACTTTATTTTGAAGGAAAAAAGGAACGAATTCCTATGCCCCACAAATAACCCAGAGATGCATTTTAAACAAAAGCACACATTCTGCTCATGTAAAAACACCAGGCAGGCCCCACAAATAACCCAGAAATGCATTTTAAATAAAAGGACACATTCTACTCATGTAAAAACACACTGATTCCCGGACTGTCCATGGGCAGGATTTAGAAGGCGATTGGGCCGGATTTGGCCCCTGGGCCTTAGGTTGCCTACCCCTGCTCTAACCACTACACCACACTGGCACCATGCATCTTTTTTGTACTAGAGCTGGGTCAAAAAATCTCTCTCCAGCTTCCCTGTGCCATTGGTGCTGTGCAAAAATGTGGTTATGCTACTTCCATTGGAGGGGATTCTACACAGCAGGGAATGGAATGATAAATGGAAGCATCCGTCTCTTTCTCTCCCCTTCCCACCCTCTTTTACCAACATCATCTCTGGGAATGGCATGACCTTAGTAGATTTCATTGTTTATTTCTGTGTTAAACAGCCTTCCCCAACCTGATGCTTTGTTTGGGACTACAACTCCCATCTTCCTTGACCACTGGCTGCGATGGCTGAGCTGATGGGAGTTGTGAAACAAAACACTCATAGAGGGCACCAGGTTGGGAAAGTCAGATTTCAATGGAAGAGCTCTAAGGAAAGCCTTTTCCCACATTGTAGCATAGTGTGCTGGTCCCGGGGGCTAACCGAGAGGTGAGGTCCGAGTCCAGTCCGAGGTCAGTGGTGCGGTATGGAGGCTGTCCATCAAAGCTGTAGCTGGGTCCAAGGCGGGGAGTCGGGTGGGGTCAGGAACTCTGGCAGAAGAGCAGGACAGGGTGCAGGCAGGAACAGGCTAGCAACAACGTTGCTCCCGCAACCTGGGACTGGGGCTGACTGGCTTTTATCTGCCCCAAGGCATAGGGCGGCCCCGGTCCACAGGTGACTCACCTCTCCTGGCCAGGAGGCGAGCACTCCTCCTGCAGGAACTTAGTTCCCTCCACCTCTCTGCCCTGAGCCTCTGCAGCTCAGGAGAGGCTGGAGGGTTACTGGACCCAGAGGCAACCTCCTCTTCCCCTGACGGGGCTGAGCATGGAGCACCTGCAGGCAATGGGTCCTCCCTCACCTCAGGGGCCAGAGCAGACTCAGCTGGTGCCTGCACCTGAGAATCCAGCACAGGTGAGGACCCTTCAGGCTCAGGCCCCAGCCCCGGCTCAGCTGGTTCTGGAGGCGGGGACTCCTGTGCAGGCTGGGATTCCTCAGGTTCAGCCTCTGAGTCCGAATCCCAGGCCATCACACACAGAGTTGAATCCCCCACCCACTAAAAAACGATACTAAATTCATCTTCCCATCCAGGGTGCCCATTGTTTCCCCAGCCCCCAAAATAAGCTGGTCTGCAGATCTATTTCATTATCTCTTAATAACTTTATCTGCTTTCCACTTAGCGAACACCTGTCATAAGCAGGTAGCTTCCAGGGGAATCAGTAGGAAGCACTGGCAGAAACAGGTGTTTCCCCATCACACCGAGAGTTTATCAAGGGTTTTGTATTATGATTCCCTGCTTGAAGCAGGTAAATTACTGAATCAATATAATGCTTCTGCCTTTAGGCATCCAACCATCCCCACCCCAAATGTCTGAGGTGTGTGCTTTAATTTCACAGGGTTTTTCCTCGCTACCTCACATCGCCATATGGGAAATGAATCAAATGCATCAAAGGAAGGCCACGCCAGCGACCAGTTTTGTTCACTTAAAACAAATATATAATTCACCAACACAGCAAATTAGCACACAGTGGCAGCTGCTTTTTCGTTGATTTAAAACATCTGTCATCAAAAGGTTAGAGACTCTTGCCATAAATAAAAAAAAAAACATAGCCGAGCAATGGGATATAAAAGAGTTGCATTCACACTGTGCATCAAAAGCGCACCACTTTCCCCCTCCCAAAGAATCATGGGAACCGCAGTTTATCAAGAATGTTGGGAGTTTTGTCGGGGGCGAACCCTAGTTCCCAGGATTCTTGGGTGTGGGTGGGGAGCCGTGTACGTTAAATTATGGTTGTGTATACAGCCCCTGTTCTCTGCTGAAATGCTAAAATTCCCAGGATTTTAAAAAATGTGGAAAGCAGGAATATGAAAAGAAAAAAGGGGAGGCTCTGAGGCTTGTTCTGGGTTTTTTGGGGGGGCACTAAACATTACAAAGTGATGTTCAAGCACTTTGAGGGAATTTCTCTTAAAGGATTAAACCACCACAGAAAGTTATTAAGGCAATGAAGTTCATATAGGACTTGAATGCATTCTCCAATCAGATTAACTGGTCTAATAGGATTCGGGGAAGCTCTCAGAGGGGCAGGCATGCTGGACCCTCCAGATGCCATGGCCATTGGATTTAATCTAATCGAATCAAGCCTGACTAGGCATACTTTGTTAACGGGTCTATCTGTGCACTGGGCAACTGCAAGCCAGCTTCCACCCTGAGCAAACACATAGCTGCCAGCACTGGGAAGATGCACATAGAGAAGTCAGTTGCGGCTGACGCCCATTGGAACTGATAGGGCAGAAAGTAGGGAGCCCAACTGTAGGTGGCGCCAGAGCCAATGACAGGCAGAGCCAATTCATTCTAGTTTTGTCCCCATCCACCTCCCTACTGAATTCTACAAGGGACAGCACTGAGACTAAGGAGGAGGAAGCCGACAGGCAGTGGAGACCCCTGGACTGGTTGTAAGTAAGAAGGCAGGCATGTGGGAGTTGGCTGAGGTTTGGTGGGGCACATAGGTGCCAACTCCCTGGGGCCCTGGGTGCCCAAGCACCCACAAAATTCCCCATGAAGGGGCCAGGCACTCACAAATTTTGGTGCCAGGTCCTTGCACGCTGCATGGCACCCCCAGCCGTGGGAACCCACAGTTGTGGGGCCAAGAAGAAGAAGAAGAAGAAGAAGAAGGAGAAGAGTTTGGACTTGATATCCTGCCTTTCACTCCCCCTTAAGGAGTCTCAAAGCAGCTAACAATCTCCTTTCCCTTCCTCCCCCACAACAAACACTCTGTGAGGTAAGTGAGGTTGAGAGTTCAGAGAAGTGTGACTAGCCCAAGGTCACCCAGCAGCTGCATGTGGAGGAGCGGGGAAGCGAACCCGGTTCACCAGATTACAAGTCCACTGTTCTTAACCCCAACACCACGTTGGCACTCCTGGTGGGGCAGCATCCCATTTGCCCTAATATACCAGCCTCCACTGAGAAAATGTCACAGATACAACAAGGACACAATGACTTCACCTACTTGGACAGCAGGCATGCCTAATTTGCTGCCTGTTTCCATGAGGACTGGTAGCCGCGGTCTGCCCCAGTTTGTGAAATGTTCCCTTTAAAAGCAGCTGCAGCCCAGAGAGTGAGTTTTCACACTGGAGGTGTCGCCCAAACACCCACACAGTTCTATCAGCTACATTCTCACTACTCGGAAGATAAGAAACACAGAAAGTGCTCACATAATAATTGCTGTGCTGGGTACCAAAAGCTTACATCACCTCACATCCTTTCCCCAGCCAGATGCTCCCAGGAAGCCCCTAAGGAAGGCATGGAGGCAAAAGCTGCTCCACTTCCCTTTATAAAGACCCACTTTGCTTGGAATAGTTGTCAAAAGGTGCAGCCATTTGTAGAAGTCCTTGCTTCTCTGTGCAGGGAGGGAGGGAGGCAGGAAGGCAGGAACCGCTAACCCCCAAAATTCATTAAAGCAGGAGTGGGGGGGAATTTCTGGGGGGTTACCTTGGGGGAAAGTTACCGTGGCCAACTTCCAGGACAGACCCATAAAATCACATATTTTAAACATAGACATATGCAATGAGAGAGGGGGTATTCCCCATGGGAAAAGAGGCATATATTTAATTCTTAGTAACTCTATTAGACGAGGGACGTGGGTGGCGCTGTGGGTTAAACCACAGAGCCTAGGACTTGTCGATCAGAAGGTCGGCGGTTTGAATCCCCACAACAGGGTGAGCTCCCGTTGCTTGGTCCCTGCTCCTGCCAACCTAGCAGTTCGAAAGCACGTCAAGGTGCAAGTAGATAAATAGGTACTGCTCCGGTGGGAAGGTAAACGGCATTTCCGTGCGCTGCTCTAGTTCACCAGAAGCGGCTTGGTCATGCTGGCCACATGACCCGGAAGCTGTACACCGGCTCCCTCGGCCAATAAAGCGAGATGAGCGCCGCAACCCCAGAGTCAGTCACGACTGGACCTAATGGTCAGGGGTCCCTTTACCTTTACCTTTTAACTCTACAGACATTTCATCTTCCATTTTCTCCAGATTTTTTAAAACAAATTTTGTAGGGGAGAAACGCCTCTCAAAGCCCTTAATCAGTCCTGATAAGCAAGAAAAAAACTCTCCAATTCCAGCTATACAACGTAATCATATACAGACAAGTTGAACTGCATGCACAGTTGCAAAAACTATGTAACCCTGGATAGCTCAATTGGTTAGAACGTGGTGCAGATAACGCCAAGGTTGCAGGTTCAATCCTGGTATAGGACAGCTTCATATTCCTGCATTGCAAGGGGTTGGACTAGATGATCCTCAGGATCCCTTCTAACTCTACAATTCTATGACAGGGTTACCATATGTCTGGAATTTCCCGGACATAGCTGATATTCAGTCCTCGCAAACAGTGTCTGGGTGGAAATCACAAAAAAATGTCCAGGAAATCCAGACAGATAGCAGCCCATGTTGGTAGTGTAGATGACGAATTTCATTTAAAATAGCTCAAAAACCAATTTTGGCCAAAAACAACAACAACCCCAAACCCTCTTTCCATATTTGCAAGGAAGACCAATCTACAGTGGTACCTCGGGTTAAGAACTTAATTCCTTCTGGAGGTCCATTCTTAACCTGAAACTGTTCTTAACCTGAGGTACCACTTTAGCTAATGGGGCCTCCCGCTGCCGCTGTGCCACCGCCACGCAATTTCTGTTCTCATCCTGAAGCAAAGTTCTTGACCCGAGGTATTATTTCTGGGTTAGTGGAATCTGTAACCTGAAGCATCCATAACCTGAAGCATCTGTAACCCGAGGTAGCACTGTACTGCTCAGACCTTTCCTTCTTCTTTTTCAATCTTCTTGCAGTAGGCCCCCTTTTGCAGGAATTGTTCATTTCACACAACGCCAACGCCCTTCTCCCTCTCAGCTTTACCCCTGCTGAACAGCCAAGGAGCTGGAGGAGACCCAGACAGCTGGTTCTGGCTATGGGTTGTATTTGGCCCATGGGTTGGGGACTCCTGGCATTAGATAGACCCACACTCCAAAGAACACTTAGTCCTGAGAAAGAACACCTGATTATTTCAGAGAGCAGGACAGAAGTTGGTTTTGAAGATACCTGAACAGTATTGGACTTTCACTTGCATTCAAAACTATGTTGTTATTTAACGAAGGCTAGCATTTCAAAAAGGGGTGGAGGGGACCCCATCTCTCAACTCATCATCCATCTTGCCTGTAAAGCGCTGCACTACAATCCACAGCTGACATACTTAGAAAACTTTAAAATACAGCCTCTCTCCGCTGTTACAATTAAGTCACTCTAAAATGTCATGGAAAGCAATCTAACCCCATTAAATCTTCACACTCTCATTAAAAAAGCACTTACAGACTTGACAATGTTCCTAATACATTATTTAAAGACACAAGATGTACAGTGACTTAAAAACCCAGCACAAGGGGTGGGGGTGGGGGGAGAGAACAGAGAGAGAGAAATAGAGCACACAACCAAGCCCGCCTTAAGAAATCTTACTAAATGCAAAATTGTAATTAGAGTCAGGTCGTTTCTACAACAGCAGGTAGCAATAGCGCTGCAGTTGGCCTCATTGATATACGCTGCAATACAAGCCTGACTTGTGGACAGAGTTATGCAGTCGGATGTATTAAACCAAAACAAAGAACATCTGGTTTCTTCGTCTCATGAAATGGGGCCCTAAAATTCTTCATGGTAGGCAAGTTCCCTCCCCTTTCCTGTGGCCAACTCAGACTAGATTGGTTCAGAAACAAGCCAAGCTATCGGCAAGAAGATCAGAGCATTTCGGAGCCGATCTAAATTTGGCCCAGCCCTGTTATTAGGCATGGTGAAGCGGTTGCCCTCAGGCAGCTAATTGTGGGTGTCAAGAAAAGGTTATCCAGTTCCTTATTACTGTATTTTTATTTTTACCATCAGTGAGGGTGGTGGGATTTGTCAGTTGTGGGACTTTCTGCTTTGAGTCCTAAAGTACATTTGCCAGACTCCATTAGCAATAGGTAGCCAAATGGGTTCTATCCAATGTAACACATAGGAGTACAGGCGTGCTGAGTTGTGCCCAACATTTGGGGAGAGGTGTCGTGCATGCATAATATCACATGTGTGACACACACACCTGTCCGGCCAGGCTGACTTAGCCCACCATCACCAATCCAGTCACCACCAGCTGCCTCACCTTGTGAAAGGTGGCGCACGGGGCGAAGATGTTTTGTGCCGTCCAACTGCATCAAAACAATTGGGAACTGCAAACACCCAAGCTCCCATCTGCACATTAGTCTGATTATAATCAGAATTGAATTGGAATTGGAATTGAATCCCTCAGACATTTGACAGTGGAGAGTTATCAAAAGAAGATTCTGCTAGATCAGGCCTGTGGCCCATCGAGTCCAGCATCCTGTTCTCAAAGTGGCCGACCAGATGCTTGTGGAAAGCCTTAAACGGCCTCGGCCCAGTATACCTGAAAGGGCATCTCCACCCCCATCATTCAGCCTAGACACTGAGGTTCAGCTCTGAGGGCCTTCTGGAAGTTCCCTCACTGTGAGAAGTGAGGTTACAGGGAACCAGGCAGAGGGCCCTCTCAGTACTGGCTCCCGCCCTGTGGAACGCCCTCCCATCAGATGTCAAGGAAATAAACAACTATCTGACTTTTAGAAGACATCTGAAGGCAGTCCTGTTTAGAGAAGTTTTTAATGTTTGATGTTTTATTGTGTTTTTAATATTCTGTTGGGAGCTTTTTAATATTCTGTTGGGAAACCCAGCCAGATGGGCGGGGTAAAAAAGGTAAAGGTACCCCTGCCCGTACGGGCCAGTCGTGTCCGACTCTAGGGTTGTGCGCTCATCTCACTTAAGAGGCCGGGAGCCAGCGCTGTCCAAAGACACTTCCAGGTCACATGGCCAGCGTGATGAAGCTGCTCTGGCGAGCCAGCACCAGCGCAGCACACGGAAACGCTGTTTACCTTCCCGCTATAAAGCGGTATCTATTTATCTACTTGCACCTAAGGGTGCTTTCGAACTGCCAGGTGGGCAGGAGCTGGGACCGAAAGACAGGAGCTCACCCTGCCACGGGGATTCGAACCGCTGACCATAGGATCGGCAAGTCCTAGGCACTGAGGTTTTACCCACAGCGCCACCCGCGTCCCTAGATGGGCGGGGTATACATTTATTATTATTATTATTATTATTATTATTATGATGACCTGAGCGCAACAGCACTCTGCCTACCTAAGATTCCAAGCAGCTAGTACTTAGAGGCTCTTTTAGTATTAGATAACTTCAGATGTCCAGGTCTCTTTTTTCTTCGCTTTCTCCGTTTCCATGAAAATGTGGCAGATAGCCTGCCTTCCTGAAGCACGGGGAAATGATGAAGGGCCAAAAAATAAAAAAACCCCACCATGTTTGATTGCCAGTCACTGGATCTTTCAACCAACTCCCTTTGGCAGCAAACAGAAGGAGCAATGACAGGTGTAGTTAGAAGGTCTTGGCATCATTCCACTTACAGCAATTAGCTCCTCTTTGCAGATGAATAAAAGAAGCCATAAAGTAAAAGGCAAATGTAGCGCAGGACAGCTTTGATGCTGACCTTTGTCTGGCCAGCGTGATGAGTGCTGCGGCCATTATTTCGTAACACATTTCCCCTTGCCTGGCCAAATGTGCTTGGAGTCTCTCTTGTGCCTCTACTCGAGTGATGGAGTGGCTCTTGGGGCTGCAAAAGGTTGAGCGCCACTTAGGTACTTGAAGCACTGATGATGATCAAACTCTCTGTGCTTCTGGTGAAAAAGCAGTCCTCTTATCTCCCAGCCGCACACATCATCTGCGGTTTCACAGATGAAATGGGGGCACGTTTTCAACACCCCTGTTGTCATGCCAAGGCACTGAAGGCTAAGGCCTCCACTCATGCCTGAAGCAGACAGCCATGTTGATGAAGTCTGGACTTTGTATTCTTTGCATGGGGTGGGGGATTATTGCTTTGTTGCTGTTGCTATTTTTACTATACAGTGGTACCTCAGGTTACATACACTTCAGGTTACATATGCGTCAGGTTACAGATTCCGCTAACCCAGAAACAGTGCTTCAGGTTAAGAACAGAAATTGTGCTCTGGCAGCGCGGTGGCAGCGGGAGGCCCCATTAGCTAAAGTAGTGCTTCAGGTTAAGAACAGTTTCAGGGTAAGTACGGACCTACGGAATGAATTAAATACTTAACCCGAGGTACCGCTGTATATTTTGCTGGTTTTATGCTGTGGACTGGCCTGAGTGAAGGGTGGTATACAGAGGAAGAGGAAGAGGAAGAGGAGGAAGAAGAAGAAAAAGAAGATGAAGAAGAAGAGGAAGAAGAGGAAGAAGAAGAAGAAGAAGAAGAAGAAGAAGAAGAAGAAGAAGAAGAAGAAGAAGAAGAATTTAAAAGCCATTCTTTGGGTTAAAGCAATGCTAGGAGCAAAAAAATAATAACAGCATTGTCCTGCTGCCTCTATCAAAATGAGCCTCATCAGCTTGTGAAATGATAGAATCGTAGAATTGTAGAGTTGGAATCATAATCTGGGGATCATTTAGTCCAACCCCTTGCAATGCAGAAATACACAGCTGCTCCATAAGGGGATCAAACCTGCAAGCTTGGCATCATCAGCACCACATTCTAAGCAATGGGGCTATGAACTGAGCTAGGAATAAAATTTAGCTATTAATTTAATGTATATCCCACTTTTCCTCCTGAATGAACCCAGGGTGGCAAAACATCCACAGTTTAATAATACCTGCCATCTCTAGGTTGGTGTGAGAAAGCCTGAAGACCTGCTGCTGGTCAGCAAAAATAGAAGTGAGCGAGATGGACCAATGGCCAAATCAGTGTAAGGCAACTCCCTGTGTCAACTGCTGTAAAGACTGAATGCATCCACTCAGGTGTTTAACTCCTAGCAGACATTATGCAAAGGGAATTGAACCTGGAGATGCGGTAGAAGTTCTCCTCAGTCAGGCTCAGATATGAACTTCAGTGGCTTGTAGAATATGGCCGAAAATGAAGAAGTGAGCTTCTGCCATCGACAAATTCTTCTGCTGCTGCATTAGATCCTGCATGCAAGCTTCCCAGAATGGGAATATACTTGGCCCCAGTGTGAAAAGGATGCTGGACTGGAAGGGCCACTGGCCTGATTCAGCAGACTCTTGTTACGTCTAAGAAGATCTGTCTGCCTCCACTAGGGTGCTTGGACAAGTCAAGCCAATAAATCTCGTACTTGGTGTAACAGTATATTGATTACACACTCTCACACAAACAGACACACACACACACACCCCAGCTCATACACATGAGAGTTCTATGGAACTATCCATTTATTTGCTGTTTTAAGAGTTGCACTCTTCACCCTCTCCCCAACAACAAAGTTTTCAATTTGAAAAAAAGGTTCCTAGATGGTTGCACTGTAAGATGGGGTAACTATATAACTCTATCCACTGAGGCATTTTGGGAATGGTGAAAATGGAACCAGCAAAGACACACCACAGCTGGGGGGCAGAATTCCTGCATTGCAGGGAGTTGGACAAGGTGAGGCTCAAGGTTCCTTCCGACTCTACAATTCGATGATTCGATTATTTCTATCCTCAGATTACACCCAAATTATTTCAAGGGCAACAAGCGCATCAAAATTCACCAGAAGCACATATACACGCAGGCCTTTGTGGATTCAGACACATGTGCTGGGAAAACCACTATCAACTACACCACTCAATTGTACATCATAATCGAATTAGAGTTAAACCTTGCTCATTATCTCCCGGTTCAGAACCTGTTGAGCAGCAGGCTGGCCGCATGTTGTACTTAATGACAGACGCTTTGCCGCATTAACCTTTATCCAGTTTCAGCAGTATTACTGCCTTCTGTGCCTTCCAGCTTTCATCCTAAATGCCATTTTGGTCAACACCTAACATTTGCTAGAAAACTAGAAATCCTGACAACAGCCACTGAAGCATTTATCTCCCTCCACTCCCCCGCCAAATGTGTGTGTGTACACACACAGTCGTACCCTGGTTCTCAAACGTGATCCATTCCGAAAGTCTGTTCGACTTCTGAGTGTAACACATTTTGAACAGAGTTCTTCTGCAGGGGTACTCATGGAAAAAACCAATCTCAGTCCTTTCCCCAAGAAAATAAATTTGCTCAGTCTGTTTTTCATGTATACCTGAAGGAGTGTCTCCACCCCATCATTCTTCCCAGACACTGAGTTCCAGCGCCGAGGGCCTTCTGGCTGTTCCCTTACTGCGAGAAGCAAAGCTACAGGGAACCAGGCAGAGGGCCTTCTCAGTAGTGGCACCCGCCCTGTGGAACGCCCTCTAATCAGATGCCGAAGAAATACACAACTATCTGACTTTTAGCAGACATCTGAAGGCAGCCCTGTTTAAGGAAGCTTTTAATATTTGATGAATTATTGCATTTTAATATTTTGCTGGAAGCTGCCGAGAATGGCTGGGGAAACCCAGCCAGATGGGCAGGGTATAAATATTATTATTATTATTATTATTATTATTATAGCTCACCAACCAACTTTGATGCTTCCAAATCTGCTGGAATCTATTTATCAGGCTGTGCACTTCTCCAAATTTTCTGAAGCATGTTGGTCCCAGGAGTGCCAAGTGGAAGCAGCACCACTCTGCCCGCAGTGGCCATGGCAACCCCAGCTTCCCCTCCTCTTCCTCTGCAAGAGCAGACCCCTCCTCCCTGACCTGGCTCTCGGCCACGACTCCCACTGGTGCCCAGTGCTCCCCAGGCCCCACTGCCTCCATTCTCACTGCCTCACAGGCTGGGAGATCCCAGGGGCGGAGAGGGCATGGGTGTCCGAGGAGAAGGAGGCATTATGCCAACCCCACAGGGCAAAGGACCAGCCTGGGCATGACTTGCTTCTCTGAGACTCTTGAAGGTAGCAGGAGCTCAGCAAGGAGCCTGTCATGGGGAGCCTGTCACGGTTGCACCCCTCTCAGGATTTCGCACCCGGGGCCACAGCCCCCCTGACTCCTCACAACCCTACACCTCTCTTTCTTTCCATGCGCACCGAAGATCAGTTTCTCCTTAGTTTCCAACTGTTGAACTGCACACTTGTGATTATTGCCTCGTGGGGACCTGGAGTTTCCCCATGGTGTAGTTGTTAACAGCTGTATACTCGTAATCTGGTGAACCGGGTTCGTGGCTCCGCTCTTCCACATGCAGCTGATGGGTGACCTTGGGCTAGTCACACTTCTTTGAAGTCTCTCAGCCTCACTCACCTCACAGAGTGTTTGTTGTGGGGGAGGAAGGGAAAGGAGAATGTTAGCCGCTTTGAGACTCTTTCGGGTAGTGATAAAGCGGGATATCAAATCCAAGCTGTTCTTAAATGCTACGCAGAATAACACTCCTGCTTCTGTTCAGATTGTATCACACCTTTACATAATCGCAAAAAAATCTAAAAAAATAAAACGAGCCAGTATCTCCAGATAATGGAGAGAGTCAACAGAGAAGGAGAAGGAAGGACGATCATGCCCAGAAAACTATTGGCAGTCCCTCTTAGCAACAGCCACTCTGAGTCCCAACAAGCACAGACAGAGGAGCAAGGCAGATTTACGCAGAAAAAAATAGACTAAGTAGTGCCAAAGAGTGGGCAGAGAAACAGGTTTTCTGGAGAGGGTACCAGGGCAAAAGTATGGCACCACCAAATAACGAAAGTCAGGATTTTGCCAGCAAGTGTGGATCAGCCCTAAGCCAAATTAATTTGTAACCAAAGAGATCCAAGACACTGGTTTAGGAGCACAGCTTTACCCAAATAAATACACCAGCTTCTATTAACACAAAAATAAAAAATAACCAAATCTTGCCTTGACACTCCTACTAAGACAAGATGCTGTTTTAAGTGTTTGCAGAGTTTACGCTTTAAACCGCCTTTCCTCTTTTTATTAGTTTTATGCTGCAAGGATGTACAGCCGCAGTTACAAGGGGGCAGGAGCATTAAAAGGGGTGATAAACATTTAACAGCCCAATAATTAGTTATAATCAGAATAACCAGTGTTGGGTAATTAACTCCCATTCCTCCTTGCTCACTTGATAGATGTCGCAGCCTTGCAAGGGTTCTTACGACGACGGGCACTCCTTGGAATCTCATAAACCAAAAATCTTTCGATGAAGGTAAAATGCAACAACGTCATTCATCGCAGGGCAGTAGATCCACATTCTGCTTGGTGGTGATAACCAGCATCCATTCACTTCTCTAATCGAGTCCCCCCAGAAGGAATTCCTCACATAACACCACACTGGCTACATTTCAGGTAGCGTGCTGGATATAGTCATTAACAAAGCAAACACAGAAATTGTGGCAGAATTAAAGCAGAATGGCATTCGTCAAAAACAAGAAATTAATCTCACTTCCCCACCCCCTGCCTGCAATGCTGAGAAAAGTAAATAGTTCCAAATTTTACAGCTGGATCAAGATAAACGACTTAACGATGTGTGTTATTTTATGTAATGTTAACTACTGGACCTCTCAATTAGTCACTTGTGCAATAATTAAATATCTGAAAGCTTGCAGAGAACTTTTTATTCCTTGTTTTCCTAGGAAGCAGAGCACTTTATCACTGTGATTGTAAGAATGAAATTGTTATTTCAAAAACGTGCTAAGAAAGGTCCATCATATCATCTAGAGGAGGGATGTGGAACAGGTAAAATACAGTGGTACCTCTGGTTACGTATTTAATTCGTTCTGGAGGTCCGTTCTTAACCTGAAACTGTTCTTAACCTGAAGCACCACTTTAACTAATGGGGCCTTCCACTGCCGCCACGTGATTTCTGTTCTCATCCTGAAGCAAAGTTCTTAACCTGAGGTACTATTTCTGGGTTAGTGGAGTCTGTAACCTGAAGCGTCTGTAACTTGAAGCATCTGTAACCCAAGGTACCACCGTACTCCAGATGTTACTGGACTCTGAATCCCTATCAGTCCCAGCCAGCAGGACCAATGGTTAGGTATAATATGGGCCAACATCCTCCAGAGGGTCCCAGGTTGGCCACACCAATATTTCGTGCTAGGAATATTAAACCTCTACATAGTGGCATATGTCCCATAACAGATCACAATTCTTTGTTAACCTGCTTGGCACTGACGATTTACAGTTCAGCTTTCGGTCTTTGACAGTCTTGTGCAGCAAATCAGTACAGCTTGACGTGGCGCCATTGGTCAGTGCGCCTGGCTGTTAGCCAGAAGGTTGGTGGTTTGAATCCCACCCAGGGACGGCTGTGGGCAGGATTCCTGCATTGCAGAGGGTTGGACTAGATGACACTCAGGAGCCCTTCTGCATTTCTATGATTCTAATTTCCAAAGCAGCCAACTCCAAAAAATCTTTAAAACAGGGTGGATTTGATTTAAATCAAATCAATTTAAATCACGATCAATAAGACTTGGTTTAAATCATATTTTTTTACAGAAAGACTCATTCTTGCTGGTATAATCTTAATATTTACAACCAGAGGAAGCTTTCATTTTTGGAATAATAAATTTTCAGAGTAGTTTTTATAGTTATATCAAAAATTACTGGTTTGGTTATACTATTAGAAATACATAGACAGATACTTATGCAATTATTGTGAGGTTTAATAAGTTAACTGTTTATATTTGGACAACTTTTCTGCTATGCTTTATTGGAAGGAGAAAAATAATCATTTCCTTAATAACAATTCAAACAATTTATTTAACTAAAGCAATAACATATAGCATATGTATCCATGTTTGTTAACTGATGTTGTTAAACGTGTGTTGTTGTTTTTAGCACACATGAAAAACTTAAAACAAATCCTTATTTCCTGATGAATAGCCTTTGGACTATAATGTAACTTAAATAGAAAACTATCTTTAGAAAGATTTTTCCTCCCAAAGCATTTTATTTAAAAAATCTAATTTAAATAAAAAAAATTTGATTTAACTTTTTAAAAATCTGATTTTTTATATATGTATTTTAAAAATCATTAATTTTTATCCACCCTGCTTTAAAAAGCGCAAAGGTCAGGCCGACCATTTGTATTATGGCCAAAATCTCTCTCTCTCTCTCTCTCTCTCTCTCTCTCTCTCTCACACACACACACACACACACACACACTTTTACAACACAAAATGAAGAACTCTTTAAGATGCAGGTGATGGGTACTTTGCTGAACACCCTGGCAAAAGAACTGGGCCTCTTCTACTAGACGCTAAGCCTTCTTGACACAGAATTAGGGTTAGGGACCTATGGGTATCATCCAGAATGACACCCCCCCCAAAAAAAAGCCTATAACAGTATATTTGTCATATGAACATTTTAAGCTGAATTTTTCCTAAGGAAAACATTTTTGCCTTGGAACTTACAAACACGTACACCCACTTGCCTTGCTTTCACACAGCTGAGTTGCCACCGTGTTTTCACCTGAACACACAAGGAGTGAAAGCAGGGACAGGGGTAATGTCTCACTCCAGTGGATGCTCTCAGGGGCTAGATCCTCAGTCCCCAGGAGATAGAAGCTTACATGCCATTTCAGGCAGGGTTTCTGGTGCAGCGCGGTTGAAACAAATCAAGTTCAAACATAGGAAATCGGGCTATGTTCAAACATGGCCCGGAAGCAAGGCCAGGAAGCATCCCAAATTCAATATTGCAGGGCATTCCACAAAGGGCAACACAGAAAGGAGAAGGAACGACAATTGGGAGCAAGGCTGAGGGGACCAAGGAGCCAAAGACCTTTCCAACAACTGAGAGAGGCCTCACATACTCTGATCTCCTGGACCACACCCTGACCACAGGGGCTGAATAGGTTTCAGGGATTGCTTACTCACAAGCAGCACTGCAGTTCTGGGTCTATAGACGCAGGCCACAAAGCCAATCTGGACTCAAACCTCTTGGCACAAACATTCTCCAGGAACGAAGGTGGTTCAACCTCCCTGTCAGGTGTGTGTGCAGGAGCCAAGCCCTGTGACCAATAGGACTTTGCGGGACTGGGGCCTTCCTAAGTTTGCTCTGAAGAGGCAAGGCACGGCCTCACAGGTGAGGCTGATTGGTAACTCACAGCACCTGGTGACAAGAGCTGGGAAGGGATATAAGGTCAGCATTTCCCTTTGGCAACACGCTTCCTGCCTTGGGCTTCTTGCTTCCTGATCCTTGAACCACGGCTTCTTGACTCCCTGTATCTTGATCCTCGGACCCTTGACTTCTTGACTCCTTGCTTCTTGATCCTTGGATCCCTGACTTCGTGACTCCTTGCTTCCTGACCCTCGGACCCTTGACTTCTTGACTCCCAGCTCTCTGACCCTCGAACTCTTGGCTTCCTGACTGCTGGCTTCTGGACCCCCTTTCCTGCTCCCATCCCACCATCTTGCCCCCGGTCCTGACATCCCCTGCCAGGACTTCGATCGCCCATGAACCGGACCGTGACACTCCCCCTCTGACACCTCCAGAGGTTCTCTGGCAGGTCCCAACCCAGAAGTTTCCAGAAGGGGAGCTTCAGGTTTCAGGGTACCCTGCCTGCCACTGAAAGTCCTTGATTTTGGGGTGTCTGGTTCATCCTCGGAGGACTCCATGTTTGGTGCCAGTTCAGGCTAAGCATAATGGGTGTGCCTCCAATGCCCCTGGGCACATGGACTTCTCTTGAGACCTTTCCCCTAAACGGGCAAAGTTCTGAAGAGCATCTTGCATGCCCAAAACCACTGAGGGCAGCGGTTGCATGTGAATCCCTTGCCCATTTTTACACCTCACATGTTCAGTAAGCAATGTCATTCATAAGATATTTTTAAAAAATATTTATATATACAGTGGTACCTCGGGTTACATATGCTTCAGGTTACATACGCTTCAGGTTACAGACTCCGCTAACCCAGAAATAGTGCTTCAGGTTAAGAACTTTGCTTCAGGATGAGAACAGAAATCGTGCTCCGGCAGCACAGCTGCAGCAGGAGGCCCCATTAGCTAAAGTGGTGCTTCAGGTTAAGAACAGTTTCAGGTTAAGAACAGACCTCCGGAATGAATTAAGTACTTAACCCGAGGTACCACTGAACTCTGGTTGCTTTTGGATGCTGCTCCTTCTAACAACAAACACAGCTCTATGATACAAGGTGGCAGAGAGGCTCTGTTTGAGATCTTCCTTTTAATCTAGCTTTCCCCCATCATGGTGCCCTCCAAATGTAGTTTGACTCCAATTCAGTCCAGCAGGTAAAAGCTAAAAGGTGCCAGGTTCCCTGCCAAAGCTCTGATTAGGGGTGCTGTGTCAACTAAAGAATTGTCACCAGTTTTTGCAGAATTCTAATTTCCAAAGAAAGACAGATCATTCTCACTGTAGTGAGGACAGAGGGAGTGGGGCAAAGCAGTTGAATGTGCACAACTGTGTTGTGTTGTTGTTTTTAAAGAAAAGCTAATATCGCAGCTTTTTGGACTAATTAGAGGAAGCTGCAAAATAAGCATCTCTAATTTCATTTAAAAATTAATCAAGTTTTCAAACTAAAATGAAGATTGAAGATGGCACACTAATGATTCTCTTTTGAAGCTCAAGGAAGAAAGATAATGTCACTTCTGTAGCTGGTCTGAACACAGGGCTTTTAAAGTCACATTGAAATTACACCTCTTAGTCCCTGGGCTAGGCACCTTCCCCAGCGAGCTGTGTCATGAAAGGGGCAACCACAATGGGCAGTTATTTAGTTTGCTAGCATTGCACTTTACATCTAGGGTAGGAAGAGATGTCTGTGGGACGTTGATGGTGGCCATAACTTTACCTGGTTTCAGTACTATGCCTACTTACTGTATTTGTTGGTTTGTTTGTTTGTGCACAATTTGCTCTTCTGTTTCGAAAAGCCAGATGTGTTGGGCAAAGCCTATTTTCTCCACTGATTCAGCCCCAAATACATTAAATATTATATGAAAGAGACTCAGTTTCCCCCATTTTCACAGCCCTTTGCAATTCAAATAGGTGCCTCCTCTCGCTGATTTGTCAGTGGTCTCAAACAGAGCTTACTTATCTTTCCTACTGGAGAGCCAGTGTGGTGTAGTGGTTAAGAGCGATAGACTCGTAATCTGGTGAACCGGGTTCGATTCCCCGCTCCTCCACAGGCAGCTGCTGGGTGACCTAGGGCTATTCACATTTCTCTGAAGTCTCTCAGCCTCACTCACCTCACAGAGTGTTTGTTGTGGGGGAGGAAGGGAAAGGAGAATGTTAGCCACTTTGAGACTCCTTAGGGATAAAGCGGGATATCAAATCCAAACTCTTCTTCTTCTCTACACGGCAGGAATAACAGCCATGTTTCCCCTCCCCTTCCCCATTCAACATGGTTTCCCTCCCATCCATTCAGAGTGAGAGACGTGTGATCCAGGAAGCATTGCACTTGCTCTGAATTGGCTACATCTGGGTTCCAAATGTCAGAATGCAGAAACAGAATATCAGAATTGACTGACACTGTGGCATCACATTCAGAGGGATCCATTTTGAGATCCATGCTCAGTCATGCAGCTCATGTACCCTCAGTATTCCTCAGGTGAAAATAGGGACATTTCTCAGTCCCCCGCCAACTGATACTCCACGACTGCCCATTTCTTCCTCATTCCCACAGAGCATTTCCTATCAGAAGAAGGGCAAGTGCCACCACCATGTCACCAACAGGTCAAGGAAGGAGGCCAGCAATGGCAGCCTTGGAGAGACCATGGAAGGGAAGCAGGGTGTTCCCTCACAGCCGCCACTGCCATCGCAGTTGCTCAGGACAAGTGCCACCTCATTCTCCTTCCCTAGCTTGGCAGCGGTGCTGGCAGAGGAAATAGGGACATTCTGGGATCAAATCAGAAGCTGGGGTGGCTTTTGTAATTCCGGGGCTGTCCCTGGAAAATAGGAGGGATGTACAAACATTGTCTGCAGCTCACCCAGGGGTCAGAGGTCCAACATTGTGCTCAGCATCAGTTGGCGAGGTCTGCTGTGTAAAGAGCAATCTAAGAGAACGTGGTCCATTGAATCAGGTACACCTTGATTGCAGGTACACAATGGAGTATGTGAGAATCTGCATGTGGTCACTGCAGAAGGGAAGGCATTTAATCTTGTGAGCATAAAGGCTTTTCAATGGGAAGGGAGTAGTAGATCCTAATACCTACATATGGAAAAAAAAACCTTTCAGAGCTCTTTCATAAGAAAAAGAAATCTTTCCATGAAGGCCGTTGGCATCATCTGCTCAGGGTAATCCAAGCAAAGGACAGAAAAGAAAGAAATCATTAAGCAATGCTCCTTCTGTTTCCACA